TGCGACATGTCTCCCCGGATGTGGTCTCCTAATGGAGACCAAGCAGACTGAAGATGAAAATGAAAATACCTAGTTGGAGATGGGTTACGAGAGAGGAAAGAGTGTGGTAACGGATCGATCTCGAGGAGGACGAGCAGGTGGTCTTAGCATATGGTGGCGGGAAGAGATAGAGCTTGAGGTGATGACGAAAACTCTCCATCATATGGACGCGAAGATAGCTGACCATGAAGCAGGAATATGGCGGTTTACGGGGGTGTATGGTTGGCATAAAGACGACGATAAGTATGGAACCTGGAACATGATTCGGGACCTATCTCAACAGTGGGATGGACCATCGCTGTGCGGAGGTGATTTCAATGAGGTTCTATGTAATGAAGAGAAGATGGGAGGGAGAGCAGCAGCCAGCAAACGCAGCTGACATGGCTATCTTCCATGATTGCCTAATGGAGGTGGGTCTTCGGGACCTAGGATTCCAAAGACATAAATTCACCTGGGTAAACAACAGAACTACGGGTGGATTTATTGAGGAACGCCTTGATAGATAGGTGGCTTCTCTGGAGTGGGGTGAGAGCTTCCTAAGAGCAAGGGTTTGAAATCTTGATAAATCAAAGTCGGATCACAGACCCATTATTTGTGATACTAAAGGCGAAGAAGACGAGGAACCAAAATGGGGGTGGATGTTTCGCTTCGAAGCCCAATGGGCGAAACACGAGCAGTGCCAAAATGTTGTTAAGGAGGCTTGGACCAAAGGAGTTTCTGGAAATACACTAACAAAAATTGAGTTTTACAGCAAAAACTGGAGGCATGGAGCAAAGTCGCTTTCCCACAGTTTCGAAAGCAGAAAGAGCGAATTCAAAGAGCGATGAGAACGTTGGACCGAGCGGTGAAAACGCCACAAATTGTCACACAGTTGAGACAACTAGAGGCAGAAATGCCAGAAATCAATGATAATGAGGAGATTTATTGACAACAGAGGTCCCATACAGATTGGCTGAGAGGAGGTGACAAAAATACGAATTTCTTCCATAAGAAAGCTTCAGCGAGGCGAAAAAGAAATACCATTAGAAAATTGAAAGATGGAGAGGGTCGCTGGCATGTTAGAACCGAGCAGGAAATGCAGTGCATGGTTTCCTTTTTCACGTCCCTCTTCCATGCAAGAACAGTACCCTTGGATACCCCGATGCTGGACTCCAGTGAGTCGACTATTACGGTAGAACAAAATGCAAGCTCACCGGACCATTTAGCATAGAGGAAGTGGTAGAGACTCTGAAGCAGATGGGGAAGAGGAAAGCTTCAGGGGCTGATGGAATGTCAGTCTTCTTCTTTCGAAAATATTGGGACATTATTGGAAATGACGTGGTGGATATGATATTACAGATCCTGGAAATGGGAATGATGCAGGAGAAACTAAATCACACGTAGGGATGGCAATCTCGATCCGCTCCGCTGGATTTTATCCGACCTTCCCTGTAATGGGGCGGATTTTATCCGACCCGTTCTAAAACAGGGCGGATCATGGCCCGGCCTGTGTAAAGAACGGAGCAGATTTGGATATCACCACTAACCCGCTTCGTATCCGCCCCACTCTGCCCTTCCTCTTTTTCACCCATATATATTCCCCTCCCCTAGCCAGCTGTCCATTTTTTAGCACTAGTATTCCTCCAATTGATGCTGGAAACGTACAAGATACAAGTATCTCTCCTCCTTTATGACTTTATTGATAACACTGCTATTCTACTGCCAAAAATAAATGTAAAATAAAAATTTCTTTAAAAGCAATGGATATGATTAAAACTATTATATTTAGTTTTTATTGTCCATTTACATCAATTTCCCACAACAATAAAACCAAAACCTAACTTTTCCTCTTCCCTGACCTCTTCCTCCTCCTTCATTGCTGCAACCCTCCCTTCCACCAGGGTCGTTCTTCTCCATTGCGCTGCAACCCTCCTCCATCTCCTGCAATAACCACCCTCCCTCGGCGAGTTCCTCCAATCTGGCTAGTTCCAGCAGTATTGCCTATAAAAGCCTTTTTTGGTCAAAAAGCAATGAACAGAGCGATCGTCGCGGCTGTGGTGGCGAGCTCCAAGTTGTCGTGAATGGGGATGTCCTAATATGACAATCTCTTTGTGCATACCTCTGCAAATCCCTCTCCGATCTTCCCTTCTGATCTCTAAAGATGGAGCAGGTCGGATTTTATCCTACCGGTGCAGGGCAGTGAATGGAGCGAAAATTGCCGACCCGTGGCAGAGCACGGAGTAGAGCGGGTTATGAATTGCTAGGCAGGGCAGGGCACGGATTTAGCAGTATCCGCCCCAAACATGACCCGTTGCCATTCCTAATCACACGTTGATAGTCCTCATTCCAAAAGTCAAGTCACCTGCGGCTCCACAAGAGTTCTGACCGATTAGCTTATGCAATGTCTTGTATAAGTTAGTTGCAAAGACTCTAGCGAACCGTCTAAAAGGACTACTGGATGGGGCTATTTCACAGGAGCAGAGTGCTTTTGTTCCAGGGAGATTCATATCGGATAACATTATGGCTGCTTTTGAGTGTTTTCACACGATGAAAAAAAAAGTCAAAGAAGAGTGGAGAAGGTTTATTCGCAGCAAAAATAGACATGGCAAAGGCATATTACCGAGTGGAGTGGTGGTTCTTCGAGCAGGCTATGCAGAGGATGGGGTTCTCAAACAGATGGATTGAGTTGATAATGATGTGTGTGCGTACTTTCTCCTACTCCGTCCTGGCAAGTGGCCACCAATCTGAGATTTTTAAACCAGCGCGGGGATTGAGACAGGGCGATCCTCTATCACCGTACCTTTTTCTCATTTGTGCGGAGGGGCTTTTGGCGTACACGAGGATGAGCAGCTAGTAACCGATTGATTCAGGGGATATAGCCGGCAAGAGGTGCGCCTACAATGACACATATTTTATTTGCGGATGATAGTAAATTCTTCGACAGAGCTATGGAAAAGGAAGCGAGCAGTCTAAAGGATATCTGAAAAGCTTATGAACGTGAGTCAGGTCAACAGATCAATTTCTAGAAATCAGCGGTATCTTTTAATGAGAATGTTAAGATGCATCAGCGGCTAATGGTTAGTGGTACTTTGGGTATGACTATGGTGGATAATCATGAGAAATATTTGGGTCTTCCGACGTTGGTAGGACGGTCAAAGAGAGAAGTGTTTCAAGGCATAACTGATCGTGTGAGGAAGAAACTGAAAAGTTGGAAGGAAAGGGTGCTTTCGGTTGCAGAGAGAAATCCTTATAAAATCGGTGGCACAGGCTCAATTCACCTATGCTATGTCAGTTTTCCTAGTCCCCACCACTGTCCTAGAAGAAGTACATGGGCTCATCTCAAATTTCTATTGGGGACAACGAGGGGCGGAACGGAGGGTGCATTGGATTAAATGGTGTGTGCAGAGGAGGGTGGTCTAGGAATTCGAGAACTGAATGGTTTCAATACAGCTATGCTGGCAAAGCAACTATGGCGCCTTCACAATAGACCGAATTCAATGATATCGCGTATTCTACGAGCGAAGTACCATAAGAACAGCTCGATCCTGGATGCCTCTTTGGCATACAGGCCGAGCTTCGTGTGGTAGAGCTTGATGAGAGCGATTGAGTTTCTAAACATTGGGCTCCGCTGGAGAGTTGGTAATGGCTCGTTGATCAGGGTATGGGGTGACAAATGGCTGCCAAATCACCCTACTGCGTACATTCCTTCAAAACCGATGGGCTTACCGGTATATGCGAGGGTGCAGGATCTCATATCGCCGGACAATGATCAATGGGACGATGCTGTCTTGGAAGGGTGTTTTCCGGCAGATATAGCTAACTTAATTCGCACCATTCCTCTTCGAAATAGAGAGGAACCGGATCAGTTAATCGGGAAGGATAATCCTACACGAGAGTACACCGTTAAAGAGGGATACAGGCACTGGTTGACTGAGTTTAAAAGCAGAGAACAAGTCTTGACAATGGGGGAACTGAAGGTGTGGCTGCTCATATCATGTCACACTCGGAAACGCGATGGAACGAGAGGGAAGTTTGGTTTGATAGACCACCGATTTACCTTGTTGATCAGATAATGTTGGACGATGTAGCCGTACTATCTGATTAATAAAGCTTTTACAGATTCTGATAAAAAAAATTATATCTTTACGGTTATAAAAAATACGATCATGTTCAATAAAAAAAAATAAGATCATGTTCGATAAAAAAAAATAAGATCATATCATTACAGAATTTGCAATTATCCAACGTAATAACAGTGAATTAGTGTGAGCTTTGAGCTGCTGTATCATAATTCATTTGGTTGACAAAAAATACGAGTTAAAACTTAAAAGTGAGGATGTGAGGATGATAAAGAAAATTTATCTTTGATATCATAATCCGATTAGATACCACTATTATAAAATTCAATATCTAAATACCGAGATTTTCAAATCCGCGGTGGTCTAGATTCAACACCAATCCATCATTTAGGAAATCTGGCTCGCAAACAATCCCGACCTTAGTGAAGTTGAGATAGATGTCCTTTAAACAACCTAATTCAGACGTGTAGGAATTGTATACATGAAATAATGAACATAGATACAATATCTCTGACGTATACTCACAAACTCCTGATTTTACATCTTAAATAGTTCCAAACATTCCCAAGTTGAAGATAAAACAAAACTGAAAACCCCTATATATAGTGAAAAAACACGAAAATACAAAAAAAAAAAAGAACAAAACTCCTCCAAAGCTCAAACCTTACACAACACCTCCTGACTGAATTCATCTCCTGCTCTCTCTAACCATAATTTCGTTGATAAACCGATAAATTGATTAGCCCTAACCTCAAGTTCCTCCTCACATAAACATCAAAGAGGACAAAAAAAAGAAGGTAAAAGAGTAAACTTCCGGGCCAAGAAACATGTAATGTACCAAATTTACTTCAAATGTTGATGCTGAACTCTTTCACCTATGAGTAGTAACCCCTTGTTTTCATCCTAAGCAGCAATTCCTGAAACACCACCGAAACCCGAAACAAAGACATGAGCCTTAGCCTGCAAAACTTGAGAAGCTCTCGGACGAACAAGAACGGACAATTTAAGGTAAATGCAAGCAGTTTCTGAGGCTAAGCAAGTATTGATTCAACCGGTACGTAAGTTTACATTAAGCAGAAGATATGAGCTTACCCCTATCTGATTGTCTATCAGTAATGCCATACCCACCACCATATGCTGCAGGGTTCTTAGTAAAAACACCCGAAGCTGTATTTCCAATGCTGAAATCAAACATCTCGGAAGACGTGGATCTCCAGGAAGAATCTCCATAGAGCGAACCATTCTCATAAAGGTCAGCAAAACCCGCCTTATCATAACCACCATTTGCAGCAGCAGCAGCACGAGACACAACGGGTGCAAAACTCGCCCCACCATTTCTTCCATATCCTCCTGCTCCTAGGCCTGCACTAAATTCTCCTCCATTGCCATTGTTATATGTGGGTCCTACACCACCACCTGGCCCTGTATTAACCGAAGAATCCCAAAGAGCTCCAGAAAAGGAACCGAGTCCTGAGTTCCAACCTCCGCCATTGGAGTTTGCACTTTGAGGAACACCATCGTTGCTCCACACAGTACGAGAAACGGAGTTCAAGCTTGAATTGCTTCCTCCTCCATAACCAATGGGGTTCCCATACCTGCTCGAATTGCCATTGTACAAGGGACTCAACCAGCCAAACCCAGCGTTTGACCCAAAGTTCGAGTTACTACCGTAACTCGGACTCAGACCCTGCTCGACATTTAGTCCTGAACCATACCCAGCACTAAATGGGGAGAAGCTGCTACGAGTTCCAGTGACCGGACTGAACCTTCCATCCATTCGAAGTCCGACAGAAGTTGGATTGTTTACCTGAGAGCTGTATCCATTGAGAAAACTATTGACTCTAGTAATGCCGTAGTTATATCCGGCAAACTGGTTTGGCGACCTGGTCGAACCAGGAGAAGATAGTTCCTTTGGAACAGCGCGTTTCACCTCAACCATCTTCCCATTGAGTTCATGGAATGTCTTGTACAACACTTTATCCACAGCTTCCTCTGTATCGAAGGTGATGAACCCGAAACCTCTCGGCCTTTGAGTGTTGTGGTCGTACATGACAACAACATCGGTGATTGTTCCGAACTGATCAAAGTAATTCTTGAAGTCGGTCTCTGTCACCGTTGATGCTAAGCCCCCTACAAATATTTTTTTTGTCCGAGTTGGACCAGGCGACCTCTGAATGCTGATGTTGTTGCTAATTCTGTTCAGATTGTTCTGATCATCCCTGGGCAACGCTTTCTTCGCCTCAACCTGATCATCAAAAGCATAGGAAACAAAAGGATAACCAATAAAATACCATACTTATTAGCAAGCACCTATCTTTAACATCACAGTCTCATTGGAGGCTTTCTGTACATAAGCTAGTATCTCAGTTATCTATCTCAGATTGCTCAGCAGCCTAGCAATGATCCAGGGGACAAAATAGACCCCTGTTACAAATCATGATGCATCTAGCTAGCATTCAAACTACCAGGAAATTAAGAAGACATTTTTAAATATGACAATTGACAGCTGAATCAAAGTATACACAGCAGAATCACTGAGATCACTAATCGCTTCGTCATTTGATATCTCTATTATCTGTCTGTTATTCAAGATCTGAAAATTATGAGGATCATTGTGATCTGCATTCACAATTCATGTCCTTCAATGGTTTGAAGCAAGGACCAAAAATTGTTGTGGAAATATAACCTCGGTAGGCTCTAAACCCATAATTCAAGTCATCTTCATGCCAACCACACTTTAGTTCCATCACTGCCTTCAAATAGTAATGACTGATGACACACAGACTGAATCACGACAGTTATGAACTTATGATGAGGAATCAAGCCTCTTGAACTTACATTCCTGCCATCAATGAGGTGCTTCTGCATCACAACTCGCTCAGCCACAGCAGGATCAGCAAAGACAACAAATCCGAAACCACGGGCCCGACCGGTGGACCGATCCTTCATAATCACAGCTTCCACAACATCTCCAAATGCCTGGAAATACTCTCTAAGACGGTCTTCATTCGTGTCCCATGAAATCCCACCAATGAAAAGCTTTCCCTGCTCCATTTCCAAAATCCTCCTGCAAAAACCAATCTTTATATCAACTCTACGACTCTGATAATCAAACAGCGGGATCTGTTAATCAAAACACACAATTCTACCTAACCGAGAACAAACAAAGGAAAAAACCCAACAATCCATGTACGAAGAAACATAAAAATGCGGCTAGAAATGAATAATACCTTGCCGCAGAAATCAAGCAACAAAAAAGCTCACTCGGATGTCTCTATATATCAAGTGGGTACGCTCGTATTCAATCCAAAAAGGCTTTCGGAACTCTTAACCGATTGATCGAAAGTATGGAGAGGCCAAAAGGAAACCGATCGCTCCCCAGCAGCAATCCAAATGAACGGAAGACAAAATCTTCGACGAAGAAATGTCTAATAACTAATAAGATCCAAAAACCCAGATATCAATTTACTCAAAAAGGAGCAAGCTGTATCTCTCTTTTAATGTCTACCCTTTCTTTCTTGTGGATGGGGAAGAAGAACCCAGAAGAACAGAAATGAATGAAAGAAAAAAAATGATTGATTGATCAAAGAGAAAGAGAACCCAGATAACAGAAGATTTGAGAGAGAATCTCAAGATCTGAACAACAACATGAAAATAAAAAGAGAGGGTGAGCAGCTAAGGCTCTTCTCCCCCTTTAGGTTCTCTTTCTCTTTTCTTTCTTCCCCTTTCTTTTCCCCTTCTTCTTCCCTTGTTTGTAGAATTACTGTTCTGGATTTCAATTGGGATTTGAATTTATATAGCGTTAAATTGGAATTGGGATTTGGTATTTGCCAGAAAGAGAGGGGAAGGGGAAGGGAGGGAATGGAAGGAGATGTGAGGAAGAGAGTGGAGGGGAGAAGTTTGTTTTGTTGCAAAGCAAAGAGAGAGTATGGGGAAGGTGGTGACTTCCCAAGTTTAACAAGTTTGATTTTTGTTTTTGGAGAAAATTATAATTTAAAAAATTATAATTTCAAATGTTGAACCTTTTTCCCCCTTGTTATTTCATATTTCTCTATCTAATTATTGAACAATTAAAAAAAAAAAGAAATCTAGATTGGCGTCAATTTCTGGTACCCTATGTTCTACTGTTATTTTCCCTATTTTTCTGAGGGTGTTTTTTTGTTCCCCCATTGACTCTAGATCCCTTTCAAATTTGGTTTGGTATAATTTTCCATTAAAATTCTTCAGGGCTATGGTTTTATTTAATTATATTGTTAGCTTTGTATAGCACTACAACGAACTAGCAATCTTAACGAGTTAGAGATATAAAAAAAAAGTAAAAATTTTAGATAATAAAGATGAAGATAAAAATAACATGACTCTATAAACAATCAAATTAATAGGCGCAGCTAGCTCGGGTATCATGTTTTTTCACAACTTTAATCTATTTAATGACATTGATTAGTAGCATGTGGTTTGCCTTCATTGTCTATCATATTGTCAATTTATCATTTGTCTCTTGCCTTTCAATACTACATCAAACGAAAGTAGCCTAATACTTCATTCTCCGTGTAACAACATTTACTTGTAAGTTGTAACTTGTCCATGTCTAATTGCAATTTTTCTTTAAAAAGAAAATTTGCAAATGATTGCTCGTATCGTTTCACATTTTCAAAATTTCAATCATATTGCATCATCACATTCGTTTTAGAAGTAACTGCCTCCTACATGTTGGTACATCACCGAATAATATAATTAATAATCGAAAATGACTAATCGCATCATCATTTAGTAAAAACTAGAATACTTTTTATTATATAAAAAATATAGTTACATGTGTAAGCAACTTATCAGAACAACTCACCTAAGTTGGGTTTTTAATCCAAAACAATAATAAATTAATAATATAAAGGAAGAATTTCAACTAATTCTATGAAAGTCAATAGTATATGGTTTTTCCTTTTCTTGAGTGTAACTAATGTACATGAATCTTCATTGAAGTATCTTGAAGAAAGTTCATTAGCTACTTTATAACGAAACATCAACTAAGACACCTATTAAGGGCTCGCTTGGAGACTAATTTTTTTGTAGACAAAATTAGATTCAAGAATGCTTGATCTAGGAAGGGATGATGGAAAAACAAACATGTTTTCAACACCCTTTTCAAATTCAAGCTTCGACATTAAGAGGTTTAGAATACAACTTTTTCAAATTTATGTGTCCTACAAATAAATGCCAATTTTGTAAAGGACAAAATATGAGCATTCACAATTTGCATGTAAATTGTATATGCAAGTTATAACTTATGAGTTATCATATATATCATAAAAAGGAGAGAAAAATTACCCATAATCATCATCTCCAACTAAAATATATCTACAATATTCGGTTGTAGAATTCATCAACAATTTATTAAAAAAATATTTCAAATATAAGATTATATCATTAAATTCTTTCATTCAGATTGACTATAAAATTTATCAATGTCGTAAATTTTTAGAATTTTTTTAATGCGTTTCAGTTTTGAAGTGATGAAGATCAAATCTTATTGATCCCCCTCAACTTTTCTTGTGATCAAAAGGTTGTAAGTTGTAACACACTTGTGACTTGACTAAGTACATAAAAACTTTTGGCCCTCCAAGGTGATGAACACATAAATATTAAGTGAAGGGAATAAAAGAAAATAAAAGCTAAAATGATGCTTGGGAGACAGAAGGGATCACTTGTCCTCCACCCACTACTAATCCAACCCATAAAACCAATAAGCTCCCTATAAATTATACAAAATAATGAATACACAGTAAAATTTTGGTAGAATCACTGCTATATAACAAGAACAATGTCTTAGAACAGATTACTCCTTTCTACCAATTATTTGCCTCCTACTAGTTTTTTAATAAGTAAAATCTTCACTTCAAATATAATAATAGCATTTTAGATCCCTTTACTATTTCAAATTAACAAAAATGTCCCTCTACTATTTTTTTTTACAAACATACCTTTCTATTATCAAATTCTAACAAACCTACCCTTCCATAAAAAATTCCGACCGGTAAGTAGTAATGACCAAATTGCCCCTTACATATTAAATAATATTTTCGAAAATAAAATAAAATTATTTATCGTTTACTTATTATTAAAAAAAAATTTTACTAAGAAGAAGAAGAAGAAGAAGAAGAGAGAGAGAGGAATAGTGTTCAAAGTTCAAACCCATCGCCGACGAAAAAGGCACTTATAGCGGCAAAAGAGACCCACCGTCCCTGCCGAACCCAAATCGAAGCCGAAGTCGCCGCCTGTCACTCAAGAATACGTAATCGTCACAAGGCAGCGGCGGCGAAGGCCACGGTGACGCCGACTCGTGAGGGGGGAGCTAGAGTACATCGTCTAAGGGCTCTGTCGCTGTGATTCCGCTGCCATCGTCGGCGTTGATGTTGTAACTTTAAGTTTAATTGAATTGTGGACGGGATAAATTTGGGGGTTAGGGTTCTTGGATTGGTTCATTTTGATATGCCAGATAGATAAGTGTTTTTTAGGTATTGATTTGTCCTAGTTTAATTTTCCAGCGATCAATTAAATTGTAGTTTGTAACACTACGATGAAATCACAGATTCCAATGAAGAGGAGATTTTATTTAATAAGGAAGGGGCAATATGGTCATTTTTTCGTCCATTTTAACGGTCGGTTAATAGAATTTTGGATGGAAGGGTATGTTTGTTACATTTTGATAATAGAAGGATATGTTTGAGGGAAAAAATAGTAGAGGAGCATGTTCGTTAATTTGGAATAGTAGAGGAGTATAAAATGCTATTAACTCTATAAAAAAAAAACTTGTGTAAATTAGCTTTAAATGTGTTATTTTGACTAATTAGATTTATAGTAAATTTTAATTGTGGTTAATTTGAACGTCGATTTGGTCCAATTTAAAATAAATATCATCTGAAACAATGCATAAACATTTGTGCAGTGGCAAAGTACATTTAATTTTCCTGCTACAAATTCTTTATATCGACAATAAACACAAGAGTTTTTTGCTTATACGACTTATAATACTTTTCATTCTTCCCTCACCTCCATTTACCTCACTTTTGTCGCTCGAATCCTACTATAAATGACCATATGGTAGATCTGTCCAAGAAATAACTAGCATTAATAAGATCCCGATGTCGACAAAAATAATAAATGGAATTGTAATGTTATTATATAACGATACTTGATAACTTTTCTATTATGTTAAGAAATTTCGTGATCATGTTATTATAAGCTCGAACTTATATAATCGTTTCGATAAGTTACTCGAAAAAATGGTGGCAAATGGCGAGGATGATGGGAGAGCAATCCGATTGAGGATGACTATGGATAGATTGGATATATGTGACGTTATCCAGACCACACTTTTGCCCCCATTTAATCTAATTTTCATTTCTCCCCATCGTTTGTATTTTTTGTCCCACCGATAACCAAAAACCACAGCTCTTTCTCATTTTGACCCACCGAACCGATGTTGTTTGGTTTTACATTCATTTTGTACATTGTCAACTGATCAAATAATGTAATTGCGTTGCATAAGCAAATTGACGACCGACCTTTTGCGTAGTTTCTAAATTTGCGATTCTGTAACTACACACTTAATTGTTTATCTTGATTGATTACGACATAAGAGCTGCTGCACGCGTGACCTTAACCCCCCTTTTTTCCCTTCATTCTTCAAGGCGGTTAACTTGGTACGTACGTGTGACGGTAGAAGGAAGCTGGAGGTACATCCCTCGCGAAGCAGATGCAGCTGCTCAACAAATGGCCAAAGCGGAGACATGAAGGAACGAGAGAACGGTCTGGATAGACAGACCCCGATCTATTTGGTTAATCAGTTACAACAAGACCATTTAACTGTCTTCACTGATTAATAAAGTTTCGAGCAGGTTTCACGATAAAAAAAAAGGTGGTTAAATTGATTATTATTATTTTCTTTAACAATCTTTCAATATCAAGGTTTATTAACTTTCTTCCTATATTTCTGATCATATCAAGATTTCCCACATAATTTGGATTAGCTTTTGGTTGAACAACATTTCCCAAGCCACCTAAGAATGGGAAGGTTCCACTGATACATATATAACTGTAGCTGTATACAGTGGTGTAGTGGGGAGCCATAATCAACATTGCATAAACAACTTCATTAAATGCCGACTAATTTTTATTAAAATATTTATAAATCATCAAATCATACCAACCCAGCATTTGGTGTAATGTTTGTGGCTTGGATAAATTCGTCGTGAAAACCCAGTCCATAGATAATTTGAATATAAATCATGATTTTACCGTATCGCATGTTGTGGATGGTATAATTTATGTTGATAGATTCTTTTTATTTCATGATGAACTTGATAAGGAAAATGGAGTTTAATATTAAGTTCATTATTGTCAAACAAAATCAAATTTAATGATGAATCGATTCAATACATTTTGTTTAGATGATCGATGATCGGCTAATGAACCCATTATTAGGTTTTGTGGATAGAGCTGAGATCTCCTTCCTCAACCCAATCCTTTATCTACTTATATAGGAATTATTTATTCACATGCTATGCATTTTAGTATATTGATTAACAATGGAAGGTATCTATGTATTAATATTTTCAAACTAATAATGTAAACAAAGAGGACCAAAGAGCAAAACATGGCATGATTGGGGATCACATGATGGAGGATGATAATTACTATCCAAAGATTTTGCCTTTTGTTTTTGCTGCCTAGACTAGACTCCCACCAGGCCACCACCACCCCATTTTTTCAACAATTTTATAATTCCCACTTCTTTTATTTTTTTAAATTTCAGGAACTTCTTTTGGGGATTATCAATTAATGATGAACACATGCCATTCCTGGGTCATCTGCCATTATAAGTACAGTAAAACAGGTAATTAACAAATACGACATTTTACAGGTGGATTTTTCAAGTATAAGTTTGCAAGATTAGATCTTTACTTATTTGGAATATATGTTGGACAAATGTATTGTTTCCTTTAGATAGGTATACAAGTGCATTGTTAATTATTAGTAGCAATGTGTTAATTAACAGATAATATACATGTGCATACATACTTGCCAGGGAGATGAAGATAATCATGTGATCAAGAAAAGACTCGGCGCGAGAAGGGTTTTAGCTATATAATATACCATCACCATTCGTTACAGAATAATACGGGATAATTGTTGAGAAGCAATCTTTGGCTACCGTTGTATTTACAACTACAATCAATGAATTCAAAATATATAACCATATCAATGTAAAATAAAACATACAAGAATTATATCTAATGTGTTAGAGCCGTTTTTAGTAGTAAAGCAACAAATTATTTGTAGGTTGATGTTATTTATAATCAGTTTGGTAATATATACGTCGAACTTCGACGAAAAAGAAGTGAATTCAACTTGTTTGGAATTGAGCAAAATTTTACAATAAAGATAACAAAAGCACGACATAATTAGCTGTCAACGCAACATGCGGCCACGATCGAATCAAGATACGCGAGTGCACCGACGTGGTTCTGGACTCGTCCACAGGTGATCAAAAACAGGCGGAGTCACTTTCATGCTTTTCCCGGGAAAATCTCCAGCTCTATGCAAAAGAAGTTCATCTGAAATTGAAGAACCCCCTTTCTCTGAAACCCTAATTTGACCCTGCCACGCCAAGTCCATTCCTTCCCAAGAATTAACCCTTCGCCCACAATCCCCCATTTTCCGTTTTTTAGATGTTCGCCATTTCAAGCGTGACGGCTCTGTTTCCCTCCCCTCTCATCCTCTCAATTATCCTTCCAATGGCGCCTGGCGTCCTTCTTCTCTGCAGCTAGCCCCCAAATCAACCCGATCTTTCCAATCATCCCGCTGTTCTTTGATGCCCAATTCTCCATCTCGCAGAGCCAGAGTGCATCTTGGTTTAGATACCGGAACTTCCGCCCGGCTGCTGCAGGCGATTCGACGTCATACCCTTCTGGCGAAATCAACGTCATATTGGGTCCAACGTTCGCCGGCAAGACCATCACTCTCTCCACCGGGCGCGGTCAGTCCGAAAGCGAAAATGGCTGGTCAGATCCACTGCTCCTTTCACCTAATTAACCTTCGCCGTAATCTTCCTTTGGTGTTTCCTTGCCGTTGGTATGTTTTGATTGTTAAATGTGGTTATTGGAATTTTACTGCATTCAGGAGGCTATGTTGTTCTATTGAGAGTTAGGTTCTTTGAAATTTGTGTTATTTTCGTGATCTATTCGGAGCCCAGTTTTAAAAAAGTGGAAGTTACCAGCTTTCAGGTTGAAATTTGCTCCTACGATACCTTTGTTTCTCGGAGATATTGGATGAAGCGCAAGAATGCATTCTCACCAGCCTGTAAATGGTGGGGGAGAAGAATCCATTCACAGACTGGATATCTTCCCACTGAATAAATATCTTGAGACCAAGCTCTTGATCCTCTGTCTGATCCATTGGAACTCCCTCAAGCGATGTGCAGAGCAAGCTCGAACAAATGGACCTCAACGGCTGGACTCCTGACCGATACACGTTTGCTTCATGTTTAGAACCTGCAGTACTCTAGCTCCGTTGGAGCTCGGGAAGCAAGCTAACGGCATCATCATCGACTGCAATGTTAACTACAACTTGGCTGTCATTAGTGCGTTTACTTAACTAGTAGATGCACTTCTCTGATCTTGGGGGTATGGCTGGCTGGCGTGGAGGAGTTGGAAGAAGTTTTGGAATTGTGTCGGCCAAATTATGTCACTTCCCTTGCTGTGTTATCTGCTTGTATAGTAAAATCCAAGAGTTATCAATCAAGATTCAGATCAGATCAATAAACGGTTATGGGATCTATGAGGATTAAGCCGAGAGGAAAACACTATTTTTACCCTCTTGGGTCAAGCCGGCGGACTTGGAGAAGCTTATCGACCATCTTCAACTTGGCTACTTTGACATGGATCTTGCAGCCAAACTTGACTCCAGAAACGGAGACGCCGAAGAATCAACTTAGCAAGGTTCTGGTCCGTCATTTCCGAAGCATCTGGAAAGCGATAAGCCTTTTCGGGATAGTGTATGACGTGAACAGAATTCTTCGTTCTAGCCGATGTAGTTGGAAACTCCATGTTATAAACGCGCTGCTACGGATCGGGAAATCGCCGGAATCGACAAAGCAAGAATACGAAAGCGAGAATCGAAAGAACACAGACACACGATTTACGTGGTTCACTAACACGATGTGTGTTAGCTAGTCCACGGGCGAGAGAGAGCCAGTTTCACTATATCGAGGAGATTGCAGATTACAGAGGAGTATGAGAAGTATTTATAGTACTTCTCCATGTGGGTCTAAACCTAATCCAATCTAGCAAAGGAAACGGTTACAGACCAGGCCCAGAACCCGAACCCAAATAACATTGAGCCCAAAGGAAGATTACGAAAGCCAGAATACGAAAGCGAGACCCCTGGTTACCAGTCGTAGCGACTGATAGTCCGATTCAAGTCACATCAACACTCCAATCCTGTCGGCTTCCACGGACAGGGTACCATTACTTCCGAGCTCTTTGGCAGTGGCGGCGGCGGTTCTCTCCGCCGATCAGATATCGCCAGAGGTTGGCCCATCTTTTGGAAAGAACGGTTGCTAATAATGCTGCCGTTTATGCGAGGGACGATTTGAAGGATGATGTCGGCGGGTAACGCCATGATCCGGTTCTTGGTTGCCGTGAGGATTTGTGTTCCGTGCTCCATTCTTCGTTCGCCGACGGCCGTGGGGGTTATTTGATTTGTAATCTCCTTTTCTTGTTTGATTTAGCCGTGGATTTTGTATAGGCCACCGCCGGGCTTGGGCCGAGGCTTGGTTCAGCTTAATGTCTCGATTGCAACTCGCGAATTTTGGGCTTCGTACAGCCCAAAATCAAAGATAGTCACAGTCAACCGAAATGGATCAACGATTAGACCGGTAAAACCACTACACCAATTATAATACAGGTTCAGTTTATTTGGTTGGATGGTCAGAATGAACCCAACGATTTTTAAGGTTTGACATAAAACTTGATGAATCACTTCTGTTTGACTGATCAACAGGTTCACAATTTTAACCATAAAAAATCAAGAAAATCAACTTTAATAAACTAAGGTTGTCTAAGCTCAGTTACTAATTTTATTCATGCTTCATTTTCTTCATTTTTCAGCCTCTTTGTAAGCTATATGTGGTCCACTATGAATTGTCACCTCACCATGATTACTAACTTGAATTAAAAAAAAATCAATTGCTTTTGTGAGATAGTTTGAATACTTTGTGAGAACCTTTTTGGTGATAGATTATATGGATTTGAATTTGTTCATGGCTTTTGATGATTTTACCCATAAATTAGTGTATTATATGTCTTTTATGTTATAACGTATGAACGTTTCTGTCAACGGTTCCATAACAATCAACCATTGAACCATCACCCACTAACCTTTTCGATTTAGCATCCGATTATAAAAACATTGATCATAGTTCTCTCTCAATCAAAACATAACAGCATGTCCTTCTCTGGGGTTTACTAATGTGTGAAATATAAGACTCACTGGAAGCTACGTTGCTGAAACGTGGATGGAGTTCATGATCCATGTCCCCCCTCTGTAATTTTTAACATCTAGAATGGAATCACCATCACCTTGGTATTCCACGGCCAGCTAATTATCCTTTGCGAGCCATGAGACCAACATCAGAGGTCGGGATCTAAATGAAAAGATAGAGATATCAACTATTATCTTGTGTTGGATTGGATTGGCACTTATAGCCTTTGCAAAGTTTGTCAGTTGTGAAAGTGTAGCCTGATCGAGAAATTATGTGTCATGCATCAATCAACACGATCGAATGTAACAATGTCGATGCATTACAATGCCACAATTGCATTACATCTTGCACCACCTGGTCTCTCTAGCTACTTGCTTGCACATCATCTTAATAGATTCATTCAACCTCTTCAGAGCTTTCCATACCGGTTAAGCAAACAAGGGGCTGCCTTCTCGAGCTTTCCCTGCAACTTCCTCCCACATGTGAACACGTTGTGTCGTTGATTCGTAAATGCTGTGTCAGCCAGTCTGGTCCAGATTTTTGAAAACAGAAATAACAGTTTGTGACGTCCGGTTGGAACTCGGAATTGAATATATGGGAAACAGGCAATCTGGAAAGAATCTCTCTCTTTTCTTTTTCCTTTGCCTCCCAAATTTATGGGATGGGCCGCCGCACCGGATCCACAACAGTCAAGTAACTACGCGCCACGTCATGCTTTGGGCCTGGAAGATAACGGAAAGGCCGCGGTTCGTTATCCGAATCTGGGCCAGCAATTCCTCGAGGTCCGGGAAACCCGGAATCTCTCTCGACGCTAACATCGAAGCAATCTGTTGGTCCCGTCCCAACTACCATTCAAAAAGAAAAATAAAAAAAATATTAAGAAAAGGCGGGAATACTGTTTTATTTTTTTAAGAGCAAATGACACACTCCACCGTCTTCTTCCACGTTTCGCCTTCTGATTGGACCCACCCGCTCCTTCTTCCCCCAGCCTCGAAGCAACCCCCCACTCCCGCTATCCATTTACGAAAAAGTTACACAAAATAAATTGAATTTTATATACGATTTTTGCCTTCATGTAAAATGGATAAGAATTAAGAACGGTGTATCATTTTTCCCCCCTTTGGCTGGATAAGTAGTGACCAAGTTCCTTGTTTTCTTCGTAGTAGAGATATGGATATGTGGGAAGAATGGATGCATATATTTCCATAGAAACACTCCCACCTTAGGATACTTGCCCATCTTGCGGCTCAGAAGACCCTTTCTTTGTCTCCGACCTCTTGTCAATTGTATGATTTTCGTTCTTGATTTGATTCCAATGTATAATTTATAATCTCTCTATCATCAATATAATTATTTTTGTTAGAAAGATGAAAACAATTTTTAATCTCTAATTTTACACTTTTTCTGTTCGTTAAAGAACTATCATGATTACTAACTTTTGAACCTTTTTTTAGTGTCATCGTAACTTTTGGTTTCTTTGTTATAAAATATTATAATTCTTATATTCGAATCTAATTAAGTATTATGCAACAAACAGATACAATTGATTTAAAAATACTAGTCCTATACGTATTCCTATACGCGCATTATACGCGACCCCACTGCGTGGTGTATATAAATACAGGCGCACTGCACCAGTTTCGTATCAGCTTCTTCATCCCAAAGCAAAACCAACAACAACAACAACTAACTGCCCGCCATGGATTCCCGTTTCTCTCTCTTCCTGATCCTCTCCGCACTCCTGGCCTCCGCAGCCCTCGCCGACGTCTCCGCCACCGCCGATCCTCTGATCCGGCAGGTGGTCGACGACGAGCAGCGATCCTCTTCCCTCCCCAACGTCGCCGCCGCCGCCGCCGACAACCTCCTCGGAGCGCCGGAGCACCACTTCTCCCTCTTCAAGAAGAAGTTCGGGAGATCGTACGTCTCTCAGGCGGAGCACGACTACCGGTTCAAGGTGTTCAAGGCGAATCTGAGGCGCGCCGCCCGCCACCAGCTGCTCGACCCCAGCGCTTCTCACGGAGTCACTCGGTTCTCCGATTTGACCCCTCGCGAGTTCAGGAGGCAGTTTTTGGGGCTCAGGAAGCTTGGGCTTCCCAGCGACGCCAACACGGCGCCGATCCTCCCGACGAGCAATTTGCCTGCGGATTTCGATTGGAGGGAGAAGGGCGCGGTTACTGCCGTCAAGAATCAGGTCAAATTTCCCCCTCTTTGTTGCCATTATAATTTTCCCCTCTTTTTTACTTAGGATTAGGTTTCGTAATCAGCTACAGTTTTAGGTTTCGTAATCGAATTCCTGAATGTTGGTGAACGATAGAGACTGATGTTTGCTTCCTAAGGTCGCTTTTTGATTCGTAGCTGTGATTTTAACCTCTGAAATTCAATTGGTTGATCGATCGGTGTTGTAGAAACTGTAGAAGAATAAAAATTAGAAACAAAGTGTATCTCAAGGGATCCTTAAAATTGAATTGAAATTCGAATTAGTACTTTACCAGTTTACATTTAAATTTTGCACAAATTTAGTAAATAGTATGGGCGGTACTATATAGCCCACTCGGCAATTCAAGTCAGTCCTCGTATGAATTTCTGGCTCTGCCACTACGTTTGTGTCTTTTATCTTGGAATTTGGAGGTTATTGATGGTGATTCTTGTGGGAATTTTCAGGGTTCATGTGGTTCTTGCTGGAGTTTCAGCACAACTGGAGCACTGGAAGGTGCGCACTACTTGGCTACAGGGGAGCTAGTGAGTCTCAGCGAGCAGCAGCTTGTGGATTGTGATCATGAGGTCGGTTACGATCTCTTCTCTTTCTTTGGTTCTCTACCTCTTGTAGCCTGGAAATAGTCATTGAACATGAATTGATTCAATTCAACTCAATTCAATCCTTTTTATGCAGTGCGACCCAGAAGAGCAAGGGTCCTGCGACGCTGGCTGCGGCGGCGGGCTAATGAACAGTGCATTCGAGTACACGCTCAAAGCCGGCGGCTTGATGCGTGAGCAGGACTACCCTTACACCGGCACAGACCGCAGCACCTGCAAGTTCGACAAGAGCAAGATTGCAGCTAAAGTAGCCAACTTCAGCGTCATCTCGACCGACGAAGAACAGATTGCTGCTAACCTCGTCCAGAGTGGCCCTCTTGCTGGTAAACATGGTTGCCTCCGTCTTTTCCATTACTCTTTTTTTATACCTCAGGTGTCTCTAACTGTGGATTGTTATGTCTTTGTTTAGTTGCGATCAATGCTGTGTACATGCAGACCTACATGGGCGGAGTCTCGTGCCCTTACGTCTGCTCCAAGAGGCTCGACCATGGAGTGTTGCTGGTGGGCTATGGGGCGTCGGGCTATGCGCCGATCCGGATGAAGGAGAAGCCGTACTGGATCATCAAGAACTCGTGGGGAGAGAACTGGGGAGAGAATGGGTACTACAAGATATGCAAGGGGAAGAATGTCTGCGGAGTTGATTCTATGGTCTCCTCTGTTGCTGCAGTTCAGACTACACCTCCCGGTACCCAGTAGTGAAATAAAGGTGCCGGCCGGCTGGCTGGATGGCTTTTACATTTGATTTGATATATAGAGAGAATTGGATGGATGAATGTTTGGATGTAAATATTTATTTATCCCTCCTCCTTGCAGCACTGAAAGGGAGCTTTATTTTTACATTATTGCAATCGCACTTCTGTGACCTCTTTTAATCTATACGAGCTTTTGTTGTCGGATTAAATTTCTGAAGCAGATTTGGTACATTGTTGTGAAAATGTACCTTGGAAGATGATAAAGTATGACGCTTCCTGATTTATGCCAATGTATTGCTGATATATGAAAAAAAAAGGTTTCTGCAGCAAGTTGTCTCCTAACAGTTGAATGTATGTGTCATCGAGGGTTCAGAGGCAATAATCCTGCAACATGCTATCATTATTAGATCATTTCTATGGGTTTTCAACCCAATGAACCGGGATCGAGGAGTTGGCCGAATTCGGATGCATTCCCAGCCGGATGAATCAGGATGGTGGAGTTGGCCAAGTTCAGGTAGAGAAAACTGATGTATGTTGCATCTTGTTTGCATTAATTTCTAGGATGAGAGATAATGTGAGGGATGGCGTGCATTATACGTCACCTTTGTCTGCACAAATTTTTGTCGAGAGAGCTGACGTATGTTGCAACAATTTGTTTGCATAAATAGGGTGAATTGTGATGACATCAGTAGACTTGGCACCAGAAGTTTGAACGAGTAACAAACCTGTCATAGTGATTTAAGGTTGAAGGTGACCGTTACGCTTAACGGTCTCGGTCTACAATATACCGCACAGTTGAAGAAACTAAAATGGTCGCTAATAACATAAATAGAGTGAATACCAATGAAACAATGAATTTTTCATAGTAACTTCACTACGAAAACAGAGGAAATGGAAGAAGATAAGATGAAAACCATAGAGAGACATAGATGAGCTTAAAAGTAGAAAGGAAATAAATGAAATAAAATCATTCATACCTTATTAATTTATTACACATGGCCATAAAACTGCCAAAACTTCTTCAACTCCATTGGTTGCATACAACCCCGTCTTTCTTTTTCATTTTCTCAAATCTGCTTTAACTGCTAAGGAGAGGGCAAAGGCCAAAGAGAAGGAATCTCAAACACACTATCTTGGGACCTACTCCACCAAGATCCCAAATCTCCACAATACTCAACCACCTGCTCATTGTTACAATATACTAACGTTCCAATGGCAAGAGAAACTCAGAATCACAAATCGCATGACCTATGCACACTGAGAATATATAACTTAAGCTTGCTACCCGTTCTAAATCACGAGCAGACTAGGAAGATAAAGATCCGATTTCCAGTCGATCGGTACATTCACTCCTCTTCGAGATCTATCAATGCAAATGAGAAGGGGCTGAACTTGTAACCGTCTCCCTCGTAGAACTTGTTCTGGAACTCCACCCAGTGGAGACGAAGGGCATGGAGGAAAGCGCTCAGAGTTTCCATCACTAGCAGCACGCCCACAGTTGCAAAGATGAAGACGATGATGCCGATGATCAGGATAAACACATTGTTGAACCTGCAAAATGTGTGGACATAATATCAAAACTCTATATTTCATGCTTGGAAATTGGGAGTATATTCAAGTGGTGGCGTGGCATACCCCCAGGCAAGGAGCAGGACTTTCTCGTAAAACACACTGGACAGTTCTGAGTGTGCAAGACTGCAGAGAAGGGAGATACACAAGTGGGACGTCAGATGAAACAACAAACTTAATTCTGTGGAAGAGTGGCTGAAGTGATGATTCATTTGCATTTCAGAGAACACGCACCTGAGAGCCCACAGGCGAAGGTAAGAAGCTGTGTTCGAGACAGCTCCGAGAACAAACTCGATCGTGTGAATCATCTGATGAACAAAAACTTCGCTGAATTCAAATTCCTCATGACCACCGTGTGAACCATCATGGGCTGCTTCCAGCTCAGCAGATTCGTCAGTGCTAGGAAGTGGAACATATGATTGTCCTTGGTGAGTCTGGAAAAAAAAAACATGATCATTCAGACAAAAAGTGAACGAAACAGTCCAAACACCTCGGATATGGTAATGCTTATATAAGTGACTGGGTAACTTGATGTTGTTAATTTTTACCTTCTCGTACTCCCTCTTCAAAAGAAAAGGCTTTGGGAAGAGCATCCACGGCACAGCAACAAGGGCCAGCAACAGTAAAACCATCTGTCAACATTAAAGCAAATACAAATTAATAATCCCACCTCTTCCCTTTAACATGAATGGCATCTATGGAAAAGGTAATGGAACAACTAGCCAGACCTGAAGATTTTTTTGTCCCGGGAAAAGTTGGTTTTCACCCAGCTCGTCAGTTGGACTCAGGAACATGTATATCATGACATGGTATAAGTCTGCTTGAGAACCAGTTACCCACTTTATAATGATGAGAGCAGACAAGTAGCCGAACAAACTGTTCAAGAATATCATCTGAGGGACGAATTGGAACCTGGCCAAGCAAAAAAAGAGGCAAGCTTTAGTAGATTAAGCAACAAGAGACGGAAAGAATCCAAGCCCAGAAAAGTTGCAAGAAACATGGCATACCAGACATTTAAGCTGCTTTTGAAGTAGAGTGCATTGAAAAAACTCAATATTATCCCAAGGTTCATCTGGGCTACTCCAAGAAGGATGGACATTTTCATCTTCAGTGAATTAAGAAACGGCAATTCACTGCGTGTACCGTGCCATACAGGGTCGACACCAAATGGGTAAGTATCGCGCACTTTAATCAGACCAATTGTAGTGGAATCCCTGGAGACGAGCACAAAAAAGATTTCGGTAACATATCAGCAACATGCATGTATAGAATCATACAATTCTTTCCAAAAAATTACAGCAGCAGTCACGAGGTTCGAGATGAGTACCGGCAATAGGGATCACGGCAATCATAAGCAGAGCGGCCAAATAATTCGAAGGGTACCGAGAAGAACTCATTATAGATCAAACCAGTATAAATAGAGAACACTGACATCATCAGAATAACATAACGACCACCAAATGCCATTTCAGTGATATCTCCAAGCTTCTGTTATTGACAAGAAGTGCAGGTTTCGTCAGATCTAAATTACCATAAATTGGCATTCTAGGACAAGGACTGAAACAATTTTTTAATTTCACGAACAGAAAAAGTTGGTAGAATCATGTTTGTGTGCTTGGTAATGTGTAGGAGAAGAATAATATGTAAATGAAGAGTTTGATTTCGTTAGAATCAATAAAGCTGCAAAGCAATACCTGACTGGAAAGTTTTTTTTCCCTTGCTATAAACACAAGGGTTGCAAGCAACAAGCATATTCCATGGCCCCAATCACCGAACATTACTGCAAACAGAAAGGGGAATGTGGCAATAGTAAACACGCCTGGATTTGCTTCCTGATACTTTGCCACCCTACAAAGTCATACAATGTCACCCATTACCCTTCTTTTCAAAGAAGTATTAAAAATTTGATGGAAGTAAGAAATCCACATGTAAGCATGAAAAGCAGTTCTTAGACAACAATAAGGGGCTTGCTTTGAAACAGAACCAGGAAGCATTTAATTTGGGTCATATCTGAATGTGAATTGTTATGCAGATCATGGAGTATCCATGATATGTGGAATAAAATGCAAATAGAGAGACGAACTACAGGACTTACGAAATTTTCTCAGACCAATGTAGCTTAGAAATATATTAGTTGAACTCACCCATATGCATCAACAATTTCTTGGAAGGCAGTAGTGAATTTGTTTGTGCGAAAGTAAGTAGGTGGTCCTTCCTTTGTATCCAAGACCTGGAAAATGGATCCAACCTGAGAATTTGAATCAATTGAAGCTCGGTGCAAAGCATCATGGATCTGCAAAGACCAAATATATAAGTCAGTTGCAAAGACTTCAACAAGACCGTCAAAACTTCTTATTCTTTGTCGAATCAAGAACCGTTAAACTGTAAATTTTTTTTGAAAAACACACAGAACTTAGTAACATGTATTACCTGCTTAGTGGCAAACACAGGACTCCATCCCTCACCAACAAGACATTTTTTTGTCACATCGAGACTGAGGGTGTTTAGGGTATGGTAGATGGATTTCTCCTTCTTAACCTTCATATGTTGGCAAATACTTCAATCAGTGACCCAAATCAGTCCAAAATAAAGGATAAATTTGTGCATGAATTGATGAATATTCATCATTGAAGAACAAAGAAACATAGCCAATGTTACTCATTCAGAATAAGAAATGCAGCTAGAGTCAGGAGATAGCATTTTTTAAAGTTGTTTTGGCTTGAGCTTACCAATGAGTTCCACTGCTCATATCGTTCTGCAATTGTCTTTAGCAGACTGTTTCTCTGAAGAGAACCAGCATCTATGGTGGTCTTCATCTCTGTTTGCCTTCCTGAGACCTATGAGTAAGAGTAGAGTAATAATAAGCATAATGAATGAATAAATCACATTCAAAAAGCATAAGCGTTTGGAAGGAACAAGTCAGGCAATAGGCTTCTAACACAAATCACTCCAAGATTATCCAAAGGAGAACTATTCCTTGCATAACTACAGCAGTCCCATGACTGGTACCTGGGTAATCATTTGACTTTGCTTATTGACATCCTCCGAGAAAGGATAACGGTTTGCACCAAACGCATCACATATTTTCAGTATTTTAGTCTTTGCTCTTTCTCCGGAATAGAAAATAACAAAAACGTTCTTCTCCACCTATATATGAACAATCAGAAGTTAGAAACAATGAAGATAATACCAAACATCTGAAAAGGCAAAATTTCCAAGGACAACTATAGTGCAAACAGATTATATAGATTAAATTTGAAATAAATAAACCATTAGACTACAGGTGCACCAGACACAAACAAGTAGAAAAAATTGCACTTCATTATACTTGGAAAATGTAGTCTAAGTATATAAGTGCCACTGGCTTCACACTTTTTGCTTCCATCTTTCAGCCATTCCTATCACTCTGAGAACAGGGGAATCAGAATTTCAGAGAAGATACAGTGGCCACACTGGCAAACACCAAAGTCTCTGAAGCTCTCTAACATACACCAATAACAAGGATGCATGCAAAAATAAGACTGACAATAACAGTTTACCCATGGGTGCAACATTTACTACAGTCGTGATAAAAGATTTAGGAGCACATACAAAGCCACACAAGGAAGATAAGAAGAAAGAAACCTTCTCTCCAGAAACAGGATCAGTGACAGGTTCTTCAACAGCAGTCTGCCTGAGGAATACATTTCCCCTCGTAGCACGAAAGATAATCCTTTCAAATGCCAATGACTTCTCTTTGGAAACCAAGCCCGTGACAAACCCCAGCTTCACCTGCTTTGATGAATCAGCTGATAATTCCTATAAAATGACCAATTGAACAACCAAAGTTAAATTCTGCTTATGAAAATATGTCAATAGTTGAATGAAGCTGGCATACAAGCTGCTGCCTCCAATAATACCTGGTCCAATAAGGGGGTCTCTAATGATCCTTCCCCAGATTGGCGAGATTCAATTTCCCTCTGCTGCGCAGCAGCACTGCTTAGAGCTGAAGAGAAAAACTCACCCGCCTAAAAAATATATATATTAGCTTGGCTGCACCAACTTTGAACATCCATCTGTATACATGGATCAAAACACATGCTTCCAAGAAAGTGAAGGAAACATTCTAAAAGTTCACTCGACGAATTGTGCAAATTCCATAAAGTGTACATCGAATCTTCTATTCAACATTTGAGGTCCAGAGGGGAAAAAGTCATGCATATCTTGACAGGGCTGTTTGTGATAGTTAGACATGATCCAGATAAGCTTACATAATGCTTTCCATCCTAAGTTAATACAGTGGCCAGAATTAAATGCTACTTTACACAAAACTCATACACAAACTAGACCATAATTTACTATTTTCCTCCATGGCCATATCTCAAATTATGTCAAAAGGCTAGTCTAATATTAAACTCAGAATCAAACCCAATAGTTCCTTATCTTTACATAAGAACACTCCAATATACCCATTTCCTTCACTACTTTTCCTCTTCAAATACCAGGAATGCAAGCAATACATTGATAGACAGTGTGTGTTTGCTCAAGCCATAATTTCAGGAAGCAACTTAGGTCACCAAGTCTTTTTTATTCAATTCCAAATGTGTTCTCTAAGTGCTTATAAAAGAAATAGTATCAAAGGCGTCAAATACTGCTAAACTCGTAAGACTACGGATCCTGTAGAAAGTAGAAGTGAACTAACCTTCTGGAGAACAAGTTTATATTCCACAAGTTCATTATAAGCACGCTGCAATTTTTCATCATTTGCATTCACTTCAACCAGCTCTGCCTCAAGTTCCCCAAGTTTCAACTACAATACACAAAAGAGAATTGAAAGAGTAAGCGTCTGACGTGATTAAACCTTTTCCAGAAAGGGTAATCTTAGATACCTCCAAGTCATCCATGTTGATGTCAGCCTGGGCATCAGAGTTCAATGACGGCAATACACCTGCCTTCTCCATTTGTTCCTTGAAGAAGCGTAACTTGCGAGCCATCTCTCCGCATTTTTTAATCTTAATGGAACGAAAACTATTGTCAGCATAATGAGCTACAAGTACATACATGTACACAAAATATAAACCAGCATCAGCTCAATTAGGCTTCTCCACCTCACAGAATAACTTGATTACAATGGTTTCAAATGAGTCTTGCCACAAGAAATTACACAGTTCTAACGTTTCACATACAAGACTGTCCTAACTTTTCTGAACTGCCTATCTGGAATAGAAAATCATTAACAAAACCCCAACTCCAACAGAAGCAAGCAACACCAAGAACATCAATCACCTTGCTAATGTCACAAAGCAAGCAAAAAACTAGAAATCACCTGAGCTGCATAGGTTCTCTGAAAGGGGCTCTTCTCTGAATTGAGCTGCAAATAACAAAGAAAGATCACGATTATGCAACATCATGAGCGGTAATGAATGAAGTAGCATCAATCCGATCATGTTTCATCACACAACTCTAAATCAAGAAAAAAGAAGCAATTCCTGAATCAAAAAATTGACATCACCAAACACCAGAAGCTCATCTAATTCGCTACTATCCATAAATCATAATGGTAACTTGAGGGAGGCAATCATAGTAAAACCCCATAGAATAGCGAAAGCATAAGTCAATTCCAACTCCAATTCAACAAAGATCAAAAGCCTGAAGTACGGAAAAGGCACGAAAGCTCCCAATTCAACAGACCGCGGCAAGTAATTCAGCTGCAGCAGAACATCAGTGTCCACAGGGAAACGGGAAACGGATAAGAGAGACAGAGAGAGATAAAGTTCGGGAGGTGTACGGACATCTTTGAACTGAATGAGGCCGAGGTCGCCGAGATAGGAGACGGTGAGATGAGCAGACTCGATGGGGACAATGAGCTGAACCAACTGCATCGGCTCGGACCGAAAGAGATCCATGGGAGGGCAGCACCCTCCTCCACCACGAGAATCCGCCATTGCTGTTTAGGAGATCTGTGATCCCAGTACCGACGCCGGATTCCACAGTCGGAGATCGGCCGATCGAGTTTAGCCGAGTCGAGAGCTCTGACAGAAGAAGGATTATAAAATTATCTAGCTAGCTCGCCCTGGTTTGGACCATAGCAACAGAGAAGCGTGGGGGAGAGAGACAGAGAGAGAGAAACGGGAGTGTCGTGATTGTTCTTCCTCTTCTACTTACCTATCCCACCACAAGCTTCCACGTCGTCGTCTTCTTCTCCTTGCCTTTGGTTCTGGCCTTCTGGGCTTTCTTGTTGAATTTTTCTTTTACGCTATTGGGCCATTCCTTGATGATTATGGAGCGGCATCTGTAATGGGCTCAAGGAGCCCACCTACCACTTCTACAAAACCATGGATACACTCATGTACCAATAGCGACGGATTCAGAATTAGGTAGAGCACTGAGTCACATTGGAAAAAAGGTAAAGAGGGTTGGGTTGTAACACAACAAATACTGAAATGAACACCAAAAATTGAAAATTTACAAGTGTTATACTAGCTCCGGATCGAGGGAGCGCTGGGCCGTGGCCCGGAGACGCCCCCCTAGATCCGCCGTTGGTACCAACACCGCTTCATTGTTTGTGAAAACTTGTACACGCAATTCGACTAGAAGAATATTCCATCGACATGTGATTTTTAGCCGTATATAATAATTGAGTAACGATGATTAAAGCACAAAATAATATACTGTTAATTTCAGTACAACCTTAGATACAATCCCTTTAACCATCTGTGACAACAGCAATGGCTAGAAGGTCGAATCAAAACCAAAGCAACTCTTTCTAACTAGTGACAAACCAAACAGGCAGTAGCCATAATCTACGTGCATACCCAAATGCATCAAACCTCTCTTTTCTTCAGATTGCAGGTAAAATATCCACTGAAGTAGTAGTAGATCTCCATCATCCTTCTATAGCCTCTTCACACTATCACCATGAACAACCACGACACCTTCAGTTTCCAGGGTTGCAACTGCGTTTCTCAACTGAAAGTACAAAAAAAAAAAAAAAGACATTTGGATCCATCAGTCTCTGCTTAATCTTCAATTGATAGCTTGAGAGGATCAGGGAATATAAAGGCAGCTTACATCATGAAGGTGAACTTCGACAGCAAAGCTCTGCTTCTTTAGCTCCTCCAATATCTAAGTTGAAAGATACACGAAAGGGGAAAAATAAATTATGAGGGTACTACACTGTTTCAACTAAACAGGTTCAGAGTTCAGAGAAGAATACTGACCTCCAATAATCGCATGGAGGGTCCTCCGAGCTGCAGCTTCTCCATTATTATATTTCGAGTTGATATCACTAGATTTTCCCTTCTCATCCTTTCGCTAGCAGATACTCCAGTTGTGATGAGATCCATGTCGATTGTTCCTACAGAAAGGTTGTCGAGAATTAGATGATCGACCTGGATATGGGGAAGAGCAGGGAGCTTTAAACTCTTATTTGGAAGCTAACCTGTAGTGTGATCTGTTGCTGACTGCTGCATAGCTACTTCGAGAAGCCGGAATGCCTCGGTTACATCATGCTTCTCCACAATTTCTGAGAAGCGAATCCGAGCAAGAGCTTCACTAATCCGTATCAAGCTCTCTATCTGTCTCGGTGTTGCTGTTATCACCTGAAAGGATAATTGTTCAACACACAACATGAAATGCTGTAAAAAGAAGAAACAAATGTCATATTTGATCAGTTTACATAGTAGATTTAATAATTTCAACATGCCTTTTTGCTACTGCCAGGGAAGTTGCCTCTCCTTCTCATTTCAACATAGCCACGAGTCAACTCTTCTGCTGCTTCATCAGACAACTGAGGATTAATGTGATTGCGAGCATAGCTCAAGTACGCAGTTAAAGTAGCAATGTCTAACACATCCTGCTGTGCTAACTGCAAAAAAAAAAAAAAAAAAAAATCACTTGATAAGATGACACAAAAAACAACAGATGAATAACCAGAGTTACTCAGGCTTTTATAAACAGATAAAGAGACCTCAGGATCTTCAAAATGCAAAGAAACAATATGTCTTGCTAAGTGCTTGTCTGTCTGCTCATCGGCCTTGTCAAGAATAAGATATATCAAATCAAACCTGCCAAAGAAACAATTGTCTCAATAGTTAGAAATATGATTATACCACTTCAATGTCATATAGCTCAAATGAAGGTATAATCCAGGCCAAATGAAACCAATGTTTCCTTAAACAGAAACCAGAAATTACCTGGATAACAAAGTAGGGGGCAAGTGTATGTTGTCAATGACGGATAGCCTGGGGTTATAACGAGAACCAATAGGATTGGCACAAGCCAATACTGAGGTTCTAGCATTAAGAGTAGCAATAATTCCAGCTTTTGCAATGGAAACAGTTTGTTGCTCCATCACCTGCAAGAAAACGAGGCAAATTAAAGAGCTTCGAACATCATGCTTGGCGGTTAAGCAGCAAACGAGCGTTAAGTTATAACATGAGCTAATGCTAACTGATGTGTATTCTGATGCTTTTATGCTAATGTGTTCTTCTGTGAAAATGAAGCGATCTTCCAAAAATTGGGGGAATAATGTGAAGAAACAACTGAATGTGCAGATCCTATGCTTGTTCAGGGTTATCTAGTTTAAGAAGAAAAACCATTTGGTTTGAAACATTCAGTAGCAAATGGAAGCAGACCTCATGTAGCATGCTTCTGGCATTTTCAGACATTTTGTCAAATTCATCGATACAACAGATGCCTCTGTCACTCAGAACAAGTGCTCCACTCTCTAGAACCTGCAAGTTTTCAAATGGACATAATAAATAATAATACGTATATGCTTCCAGAACTAGTTGTGTAAAAGAAAGTAAGCAGTCCATGTTAAGAAACTCAATATAAAACAACAAGGGATATACCGTTTCTTTTGTTTCAGGATCTCTGCTGACATAAGCAGTCAATCCAACAGCTGAGCTTCCCCTTCCACTTGTGTAAATACCACGAGGTGATAGCTTGTGAATGTACTGGAGTAACTGGGACTTGCTGGTTCCGGGATCACCGACCAGAAGGATGTTAATATCACCACGAAAGCTCGCGCCAGAAGGTAATTTCAGGGCATTTCCACCAAAGAGCTAAAATTTGGTTCATAAAGTTAAAAGGATCAGTGCAGGAATTTCATTAAATTCTTACAATATAAGGAGAGCAACAAAGCCAAACGTAGAGGTACCTGGCAAAGAAGGCCCCTTTTCACATCATCTAACTCCCAAATGTTTGGAGCCAAAGACCTAGTTAGTCTGTCATATATATCAGGAAGTTTTGACAGCTCTCTCAACCGCTCTATCTACAATTTCAAACAAGAATGAACCTGAAGTCAAATAAACATAAAAAAGGAATTCTCCAAGACGTACTGATATAACAAAGCCCAGTATACCTTAGCTTCATCAAATTCAACATCTTCGTCATGTTTCTGGGTACCACTATCAATTTCCATGGCATCCTCTGCCACCATTCTTGACTTGTCAGTTTTCTTTATATGAAGGCAGTCAATGTAAGTCTGAAATCACATTCAAAAATAGTATGCCAGTTAGACAACATCATCCTTCTGGAGAAGCTCCACTTGCTAAAGAAGGATGAAAAGTTTACACCATGCCTTGAATAGTGACTTCACAGTTCTCTGAGTGGGTCCAAGCCTGACACTCATTGCTCTATAAATTCCAGTCACCTGTTGAAGAAAGAACCAAATCCATCAGTCAAATTATGGAATGAGAGATGAAGCTAACCATGACATGATATCTCCGGGAAGTGAACAGTTCATTCTTCTTGCTCACCTCAACTCTGTCACCTGGCTTTCCAGCATCCACCAGCTTGTCATGCATCAACAGACTCACCGTATGTGGTGTTCCCCCTTCAGGGATCTCATCAGGTGTCTCCTGGAGTCTCACGATTTGCTTATCAGCAAACCTGATGTTTGGGACCAATTGTAAGAACATCAATAAAGAACACCGACTTATCTGTTTTTACAATAGATATAGTTGCCTTCGTATAGTTAATTACACAATCTAGAAGAAAGACAAAAATTACCTGCATCGGTTGTGTACTAGTGTCATGGAATTCTTGGCCTGACATTCTTGCTTAAGGCACAATGTAGGTTCACTTATCCGTCCTGATGATACCAACATACAATTTGAATTTGCATCTCAAACAAACACCATATATTATATATATTTCTACACAAAGCATCCCAACTAACAGATCAAGCACTGTTACCTCTATCCACAACAATGGGGTCAGAGAAGTAACCGCACACAAGGCATCTAAATGTTGCCTCCCTAATCTCTGGTATAATAGCACTGCACCGAATTACCATTCCCTTCAGTGATACCATCTTCTCAATGTCTGAAAAGATTGAACCAACATCAGACAAATCCTCTAATGAGCAGGAACAAAAAACAGTGTAAAGCAAGTCGTTCAGACACTACAGTGAATACCACATTTTCAATAAAACCACTAAAACCGGCCAAATCACTAACAAAAGACGAAGAATTGCAACTCATTAAACATAATCAACTGAAAGTTGAACAAAGACGAAATGCAACTAACAAATTACCACAAAATGGGACAACACATGAAAACTCACCAGAAGGGTTTAGATTTCTCATAGTAGTAGATCCCTTCAGATTGAAGATCCTGACTTGGACATGCTTCTCGAACAGCGGGTTGATCAAACTCACCATGTCCATCAGAACAATATCGAAGATAGCCAAAACCTCGAGAGGGTACCTAACCATCTTTCCGTACAGTTCAGGATTATAATCAAACACATCGTGTGCATCAACATCGAGCCACTCCCCTTCAATCTCCAGCACCCTGTGAATCGCCTTCATGTACTTCCCATCCTCATAAATCTCAGCTCCCTGACTCTGAGCATCCCTGAAGTTCTTCAGAAACATCTGAATGGCGCTCTTCACATCTTGCACGCTGATATTGGTGCCCCAGACGAAAGTGGGAGCGGCCTCGTCCATATCATCTCCGGCTTCCGAAGACGGCGCGCCCTCCGAAGTGGAGGACGGCGTCGTGGGACGCCCGGCATGACCGCGGCGGGAGTTCGATGCGTTGTGGAGCGGAGTTGGGGTTGCCTCGGAACTGGCGAAACGGGAGCGACTGTTGGGATGAGGAGGAGTGTCGTAGGCCGGAGTCGCAGCGGATCTGCCTCTCCCTCGTTTATTCCGGCGAGATGATCCGGCTGACGGGGAAGAAAATGTGTCTCCGATTGGACTCGAGAAGGCGGAATCATCCGGAGAAGAAGGTGCTGCGGATTAGGTCCAACGAGAAGCAAGTTACTTCGAATTAAAGCTACAAGAACTTTAACCACAGAAAATCCAGTCAAAAGGAGGAAGGAAATTACTATTGTTGAAGCGAGTCGGAGAAGAATCGGAAGCCATGGCTGCAGAGAGACGGCTGACGGAAGCAACTGGAAGAATAATGGAGGGAAATGTGCGAGGGTTGTGTGCCTATTTGGTCCGGGGGAACGGAGTGTATGGCGGGAAACGGGTGATTTTCGCGCCTGTTTACACGGGCTTATGGGCTTTTGTCAAGGTGTCGTCGGGCTGGATACAATGTGGACTACTGAGTGGGCCATTGAATGGGTTTCTGTACTTGTCGGCCCTTCTAATGCTATACATTGGGCCTCTGTTGACCTTCTATCATTCAGGTCCCTATATTTTTCCTTGATTACTAAATACATGCTATGTTCCATAACCCCTTTTTCCTCTACCTTTTGTTACTTTTTGCCAGTTTATTAATTAAGATGGTTGCCCCTTCGGGGAAAGGGAAGTGACCATCGCTATCTCCAACAGTCAAGTAGAACAGATTCTTAGGCACTAAACTAATGAAAAGGGAACATTACAGGCTTTCCATCACAAAGAGTAGTCCTTGCAACATAAGGATTGTTTACCACAAATGCAATATAGAACTCATAAGCAGTACGTGCTACACGTTGTTTAGGAAATCGTAGGGCAAAAATATGCATAGATCAACCATATATAAGAAAAATGTAATGGGTTTATGTAAAGAGGAATCCTGCTTATGAGTATATATACCTAGCTAGGTAAAGGAGATTCTACATTCGTTTAATGATGCTTTTCTGGATCAACAGTTGGGCTAGTAGAACTCTCAAACCAATTATGATAGCGACGGTCCATTACCTGGACGGTTGATGGACCAAATGGTTTTTCACGGTTAAACATAAAACTAGATGAACCATCACGGTTTAACTGGTTCACTATTTTAACCACAATAAAAAAAAAATACTTTAACATAAACTAAGACCATCAAACTAGAATTATTAATTTTATTTCTGCCTCCTTTTCTCATTTTCCAACCTCGTTGTCGACCTTCGTGGTCCATTACCTACTGGCACCATAATTTTTAACTTGAATTAAAAATCTATGATTTCTTCTGTGAGACGGTTCGAATGATTTGTTTCATATTTTGGCGATGATATGAATTTGAAATTTTTTATGGTCAATGACAACTTCATTCTTAAATTGGTGTATTATACAAGTCTCGTATGTTATATATCATGAATGGTTCTATCAACGGTTAACTGAGGGTGTCGTAAAGGTTAACCACAGAACTCTAAACCACTTACTTTTTCGATTCAGCGTTTGGTACACGGTTCTGAAAACAAGTTTCGTGATAGATGTTACAAGGTTGGTAAGTGGTAACCTATATATAGCGGTCAATAATAATAATCAGTTTATTCCATTAATAAGTTTAATCATCGAGGAAAAAAAAATATTAATCATATTATTTGTTTACAAAATTCATTATTCAAACGAAACTTAGCTCTTAATGAATTTGGAGTTTGTACAAGCACTTCATAGCGATAGGAGATTCTCCGTTCTTGGTTAGAAAACAGTAACTAAGCAGATCCTTCCCGGAAAGAACCTAACCAGACTTGCGAAATACCTTCCGGTAGAAGTAATTGAAGCTTTGCGCAAAAGGCACCTTTGCGGTACTACTCCCTGTTACGCTGTGACTGCTTATATAAATTCCCAATCAAGTGCAAAAGTATATGCTCCAACTAGTGCATGTTGGGCTATTACTAAATTAATTAGGTCACTAATATTATAATTAAGCTTTTATATAAGCTGGGGAATGGAGAGATTCAATTCTGTGCTCCTTTTCCCTGCCGGTTTTATGCTTTTTGGAAAGGCCATGACGATGAGGCATATGGGAATCTGACGTCCCTTTTCTACTAAAGTTAATGATGACAATCTCAATATAACTTCTTCCTCGCAAAGATGCCCACTCGATATAAATGTCACCAAAATAATCCTTTAGCGAATGAGGAAGGTAAACACTAATACCGATTTAATTGTTGGACGCATTTCAATGGATTCCCATTACATCTAACTACACAAAAAATCTCAATACCATCCCTTGGGATGTTTCATAGATCATGCCTCTTGGCAATCTCTTGGTAAGAGGATCTGCCAAATTATTGCATGATTTAGCATACACAATAGAAATGATTCCATTAGAAATCAAATATCTAACGTAATCATGTCTTAGGCTAATATGTCTAAACTTACCATTGTAATTCTTGTTATAAGCTCTAGAAAAAGTAACCTCACTATCACAAAATACATAAATGGTTGACATCGGTTTGGCCACAAATCTATATCTAACAACATGTTTCTTAGCCATTATGCCTCTTTTCCAATCGTCGTAAGGGCTAGGAATTCAGCTTCCATAGTGGAGTTTGTAATACATGTTTGTTTCTTTAAAGCCCAAGAAGCAACTCTACCACCTAGTGTAAAAATCCACCCATTGTAGATTTATTATCACTAGCACTCGTTATCCAACTAGCATAAAAAAACATATCCCCACAATTCTACCACTTGCCGAACTATCATGGAATAATTTCATTTAATTTTCCATGGTTTTACTTATTGAACTTTCACAACCACTACATTGATCTAATTGTTTGCCAATGGTATGGACTAATTGAATTATCATACCACAAACAATTCAAATATTATTAGAAATATCATCTAATTACTTACCAATGGAATTGGTCAAGGTAACTTCAGATGCCACAAGTAATTCAGTTTGCATTTCCAGATTGTATTGGAAATACCATCTAATTACTTACCAATGACATTCACAAAGGTAACTTCGACATACCACAAGCAATTTCAAATGAATATTCTAAGTTAATCATATAATTACTTGCCAATGGTATATACTTCATAAATATACCATAAGTAATTCAGACTTTAAGATCAATAAGCTCATCTTAATTGAGCTATCATGCCAAATTGTTTTCCAATGGTATTTGTCTACATATACCATAAACAATTCTGACCAATAGTTTTCCACAATCATCATAAGTCAAATTGTTTTCCAATGATATATTGTACATATACCATAAACAATTCTGACGATGATTATTTTGATGATCACCATTCTTGGCAAGTTTATTCAATCCCTATAAGGATCCATCTTAGTTTCATTTGCTTTCTTTCATGGCATAGGAAACATGAAGACATAAACCGCATACATGATGAACAAACTATCATGTTGGGGAACACTTTTCACGATTATTTCAATTTTCTTCAAGACCACAAGTCCACAACTCAAACAATTTTGTTACATAAACCAAATTGTTGCATCTTGCAAGCATCAAAATTGAAACTCATACAAATTTTGGTGAGAAAAGTTTGTTTCAAAAATTCAACTTGAATTCTTTCAAATCCAAACACAATTAAATTTTGTTGAGATCTTTTCATAATATGAATTATGATTTTGTTCTCCTATCAAATACTACAAAAGTATTTGATATCATTTAACCAAACAGAATTGGTTCATCAAACACCAAATTGATTTCCAAATTTTTTCTTTCCCTTTCTCAAACCATGTTATGACATAAACATGGAAATGACAAAATCATGCACGATTCAAGATGACTAGTTGGAATTACTCATCATGGTTATGCACGAATACAAAAATTACATACATGGGAATGATCCAACTAATAAAAAATTGTCGGTTGGCAATTTATAGCCCTTATAATCATGGCAATTACAATGCATTACAAATATGGCATATATTGTTAATTAACTAGACAACATAATGGACAGTTCCATCAGAAAAAGAATCGAAATCCAAACTGATCATATAGAGGAACCATAATTCCTTTCTAACTACACGCAAAACAGTATATATATCAAGCAGTGAAGGAACTGAACGCGCATGCACATACATATATACCAACAAATGCATTATTTCATAGACCATTGCATTCCATGATTTGGTGATCGTTGGTAATCCAGAACCACCATCAACAAGACAAATTCACTGTTCATGCCCTAAACCATGCAACGTATGGATTCCTTTTTAATCGATAAGAAATGAATGTGGAATGCTTGCTTCTTTTCTTCTTCCGTAATCAAATCAAGAAAAGTGAATCAACCAATAAAGGAGAATGAAATAGAGAAGGAAAATGAATGTAGAAGAAGCAATCTTACAGATTTCGGCGTTTATGAAATAGAGAAGGAAAATGGGAAGAATAAGAAATCTTTTTCGTCATAAAAAGAGTTATGACAGTCCTCTATTTATACTTGTGAAAACTGGAAGTTACCTCCAAAGAGACACATCTTTTCACAGAAAAATGTAGTTATCTTTCCCGAAATAACACATCATTTCACAGAAAAAAGATAGTTACCTTCCCCGAAAGGACACATCCTTTCACAGAAAAAGAGAAGTTACCTTTATGAAAGGATACCTCTGTTCACAATCTTCAAACGCTAAATAATTAACATAAAATTAATTAATTAATTAAATTGCCAAAAGACTCAATTTTTATCATTTTCTTCTCCCATCAATATGGTATTACAATTCTATTGACTAACTCTAACCGATAACGTGATTTAATAGTGAGACTATTATGTCCTCAAATTTACCATTATACGTAGTGCTTAATATTGTGTGCATGCGACACATACAAACGTGGGAATATAGAATGAGGGTAGTGGTTATGCTAAATATGGTGATTTCCTTTTTCGTCTTCCACTCCGCGCCTCTTTGATTTCCGAATAAAATTATTTAATTTGGTTCGGTGGGTTGATAAAGGGGTTACACACAAGACCAACCCTAGTTTTTTTTTTTTTTTGTTCGACAAAGGCCAACTCTAGTAATTATGTCTAGGTGAGTACTATGTTATTGACACTTGCTTTCAAGAGTGGTTAGATGAGGCTAAACAATGAATCTAATATACCATTTTTTAAACGTGAAAAAAACCATCAAATCACAAGCAGAAATGTGAACAAGGTGCCCAAAAATCATTGGATATCACGCAGGTCGACCTACTTTGACCCTGGTCCGGTAGGAAAAACGGGCCGCACGCACTCGCCGGGTCGACCGCTACAAGGTAACAAGTTGGAGGTCAAATTGTGTCATTTTTTTGGTTTGCGAAATGCGCCTATTTTCCGAATTTTCTTTTCGCCTAACTCAATCTTTGGAATCCTAAGTTGAACATTTGAATATTGATGTTATATAAGTGTGTGAATTTTCACTATATGTTGGATCTAAGTACTACGTATTATTTTGATGTAATATTATATGTTATAACTCATATGTTAGTGTTAGATGAGATTTGATATAATTTTTCGTGTTGGAGGATGGATCAAATTATCTATCAAATATTCAAATCAATTAAACAAGATTTAAAAAAGTGAAAATAAAATATGAGATAAAACTCGCAACTCTTTTGTTATAAGTACAATATAATGACTCTTTCCATATTTCCGGGCTAAACTGGGCTAAAACGGGTGACCCATTAACTCTTAACATAGTAGCTCGACCGGGTTCGGGTCAACCCGCGGGTTGACAACCTTGGATATCAGAGAATTTGAACTTAATAGTGGGATAAAATATTACCAATTACTATGTTTTCAAAATTTATTATAAAATTTAATGTAATTTTACATGATTTTGATAATCGAGGATATAACATCCTTGGTTGGCTTGGTCACCGTATGCATGAGTATAGGTTAGATGTATGTAGAAAATTGTGATGTTATACATTTACGGGAATTAATCAACGGTTAATAGTAAGATCATTAATTTTACAGCAAGAGGCTTTTGGAACATTAATTAAAGCACATTCATATTATGTCAACAACATATTCATCTCCAGATTTAAAAGCGGTTAAAAATCCGTCCCCTCACAAAAAGATAGGACGAGCAACAACTTGTTTAATAATTTTTCGATCTTAGGTGGGGAAATATTATGCATTGATACGAAATTATGGTTTAGTATCGATTGATCATCACCGCATAAATAGTTCAATTTTCAAAAAATGAACAATACATCATTGTCTTATATACATTCACAAATGTGAATTTTTTTTGGTGTGACACAAATTTGAAATTCACTCACGAACGGTAAAATTTGTGAAGACATACACCCCATTTCAAGAAATTGATTTATTTTGAAAAAAATGAAAGAATACATCTTAATTTTTATACACACCAGTGGTTGAGTCAAGAACATATAAATTTTTTTTTCGGCCAAGAACCAAGTGAAATTACATATTCATATATGGTTCAGGCTACCGTATGTCATCGAGTGTTACTATTTAGACCACGAATTAACCGGAGTTAAGGGTATGATATTATAACCCTCTACGAGTGAATCACAGTCCCTAATTCTCTAACCTGAAACACAAAATTCATTTAATTTTAAAAAATAATAACCGACGATTCTGATTCAACGGTATGTACTGAAGTGCAAATAACAAGTGTGCATATGCTAGCTTTTGCAATATATAATCACAAGCATAGAAAAATTAGCTGAACCGTCCCCATTAATAGAAGCTTATCACAAGTTGATGATCAAATCGTACGGTAAGATCGGTCATGAAGATGTATAACTAAGATCCAAAGAAAAACCGTTGTGTACCAGACGTAGAAGTAGTAGTAAGGGAGAAATTAGGGTATGCAGAAGACGGAGGCCGAACGCCGGCAGCGGCCGCTAGGGTAGCAAGGCCGCCGCCGGCAGCCGCAGCAGCAGCATGATTACTGGTAATTGGACGCTGACGTCTTTGTTCGGCCGGTTGCATCATCATTCGTTGATTTTCATGGCGGCCATGATCATAGAGGATCCCCTTAAACACGTGGCCTCCGATGCTCACAGCCGTCTGATAAGCATACTGTTCATCCAACTCCACCGAGCTCACTCTGCAGCAACGGAACACGGCCGTGGCGCTCACTTCTGCTGGGAAATTCAAATTACTGCTGCTCAACCCTAAGACAATACAATCCGTTACTACTACGTAAACGCGCGCGATTAGTCTCAATAACTCGAGTTAAAGCTACTTACCTGGAGCATGGTGTTGGGCCGGGAGAGGAGGAATAATAGTAGTGGTAGTTTGTTGATGAACCGATGAGAGAGGGTTAGTTGTCGTTCGTCGGCAGGCAGCCGGAACCCAAGTGCTGGTGACGTGGGTTTTGCAGTGGAACCCTTTCCTGTTGCAGCACCGCCGGCATCTCTTGTACTTGCACTCCTTCTTCGCCTGGTTGCCACAGTCCTCGCATCTCCTCGTCGCCACCGCCGCCACCTCCTCTACTTCTTCTCCACCGCCGCCGTTGCCAGCTTGTCTGATCATCATCATCCGATATTCTCTCCTTTTATTTCTAGCTAAAGCTAGCTGCGTACTTCATTACCCATTAGGTCTTTCTTTATAGATACATGTAGACCTCCCTAAAACTTAAAGTAACCTTCACACTTCCTTCTCCACTTAAAGGTTGTTTCTTCTATAAAATGCATGCAAAAGATTGTGAAATCGTACTAAATCAATATTGTATTAGAAAATTCAGTGATATTAATATATTATTTTGTATTGAAATCGTGATTTATAATAGTTCGGCCTAGATTATTCTAGCTCCGATCATTCTAACTCGGCCTAGATTTATTTTGAGCTTATTAGGCTTTACACGCGTAGGCCTGACTCAAAAAGTCCTTTAATTTTGCTTATTTTTAAAACATTGTACGCTGATTAGATGATTCTGTTAATCACATCATTAAAAAACTAATCATAATAACGAAGAATGACGAAAGACGAATAAAAAATGACAAAATCTGAAATTTTAAATTAATCTTAGTGACCACAAATAGATTAAATTAGGGTTAAAGACACATTTGGTCACTGAGATTACAAAATCGGGACATGTTTAGTCACTAGAAAAAGTTAATATCAAATTTGGTCACTACAATTACTAAAACTGGACGCATTTAGTCACTCGCCGTTAGTCTCCGTCCAACTCCGTTAATGAAGTCCGTTAAGTGCTGATGTGGCAAACAGAATTGCCTAATCAGCCGGATATAACCCAACAAAAATAAAACCCGACCCGCCACGTCATTATAACCCGCCACCTCATTAAAACCAACCCATGACCCAACCCATGGTGTTTTTTGTCTGCATTCTTCATTCTTCATTCGCCTGCAAAACAGACATTTCCGTAGTTGATGATCAATACAGAAGGATGAACACTGGAAGCGACCAATTCAAGCAGCTGAAATACAGGCAACCCAACTGCAAAATCAGTGATCATAGTAGCGAGAAGGAGAGACCGATTTGAAATTCCTGAAAATCCAATCAGAAAGAGAGCGGAAACTCACGAGCCGGATTCAACGGCGAGCATCGGCATCGGCAGTCACAGAAGAGGAAGGTTTGTTGTTGTCGTCGCGTTTGAAGGAGGGGAGAGGATTATCGCCTTTGATGACCCAGCCAAGGGTGAAGAAGGAAAGGCCCATGACCCAACCCACGTCGTTATAATTCGCCTGCAGCAGCTACTGCTCCTCCTACGCCTGCTCCCGTCGCCGCCGCCGCTACGCCTACCGCCTCTCTTCCCGCTGCTGATGTTCCGGCGCCGGCTCCCAGTAAGAAGTCGAAGAAGAAGAGCGGATCTCCGGCTCCCTCTCCTTCATTGTCGAGCCCTCCCGCTCCTCCGTTCGGGGCTCCCGGACCTAGCGCCGAAGCTAACGCCCCCGGTCCCGTCGTTGCCGATGAGGTAAGCTGTTTCGAAATTTTGGAATTGGGAATGACAGAGGAAGAAGATGAAGGAAGGGCGGCAGATTAATGGCGGAGAGATCTTCTCCCCGCTCAGCGAATTTGGATGGGATGGGGAAAACCCTAAATTGGGTTGGGGAGGAAGGAGGAAGAAGGGTTGGGTAGGGTTGGGTCATGGGTTGGGTTGGGTTGGTTTTAATGAGGTGGCGGGTTATAATGACGTGGCGGGTCGAGTTTTATTTTTGTTGGGTTATATCCGGCTGATTAGGCAATTCTGTTTGCCACATCAGCACTTAACGGACTTCATTAACGGAGTTGGACGGAGACTAACGGTGAGTGACTAAATGCGTCCAGTTTTAGTAATTGTAGTGACCAAATTTGATATTAACCTTTTCTACCGACTAAACATGTCCCGATTTTGTAATCTCAGTGACCAAATGTGTCTTTAACCCGATTAAATTATAAACCTTTTAGTAATTCCAGCGATAATTTTGCAAGTTACCTTTTTCCTTCCTTAAAAAGTTGTAGCATGCTGCATGAGAAATAAAGCTGATTCTAAGTTTGGATTAGCGAGCCCAGACCATTTGAGCTCGGCCCAGATATTTTTGGGCTTTACCCAGATAGGCTCGGCCTATGTAGCCCTTTAATTTTAAAAATATAATAACGTGAAAAGCAAATAATAATTATAAAAAAAAAAAAGCGAGAGCGAGCGTGTCCGGTAAGCCAGGAATCAACACAGGTGTCGACATGTAATTGGAGAAACTACGTGTGCCAGTAGAACCGTATCTCTGGAATTTGATACCCATCTCTCTCTCCGGTACGTGCGACGGAGAGCCACAAGAAAGAAAGGGGAAAGAAAGGAGTAAATGCAGCAGCAGTGGGGTTAGCTGAAGGAAACCGAGCGTCTCACTCAAACCCATTTTTCAGCAGCAAAAAAGTCGTATCTTCCCGTGAGAGCAAAAAACCCCAACCCAAAGAAAGAAAGAAAGAGAGAAAATCCCACCGGAAAATAATGGCCAAGAAATCCGCCACCGCTTCCTCCTCGTCCTTCTCCTTCCTCCGATCCGTCTTCACCGCCGCTGCCGGAACCGTCACCATGGAGCCGATCGAGGACGCGGTGGTGGTGGACGCATCCGCCGCCGCCGAACTGTCCTCGTACTGGGAGTTCATCAACGCCTCCGACGCCGACTCCTCCGACACCGAGTCGCTGCTCAGTGACGAGAACGGCTTCGTCTCCTTGCACGACGCGTCGGCATCGCCACCGTCTCTGCTGATCGCCGCCGTTGCTGCACCCGAGGCGGTGGAGGAAGAGTACACTGGAGGAGATGATGACGGAATCGGAGGATCGGGGAAAGAAGCGGTGGGTGGCGGCGTGATCGTCGCTGGTACAGGGGATCTCGGTCGGTCTTTCGTTGAGAGGATTGTGGAAGGGCAGGTCTATGATCTGTACGGTGGTCGATTTTACGGGGAGGGAGAGGTGGAAGATGAAGAAGACGAGGAAGAGGACGATGAGTACGACGAGCTGGCGGCGTGGAACTTGAGCGGGAAGATGGCGGGGAAGCAGAGGATGAGGAAAGTGGGGAAGAAAGGTTGCCAGAACAAGATCAGCAACGCCAAGCGCAATCCTTACAGTTACGTCAAGCGAGGGTGCGCTTATGGGAAGCACAAAGCCTGAAGAAACCCCTCGTCGGGAAAAAAAAATGGCGGTGAAGAAGTAAATAAAACAGCATCAACCAGATCGGGAAGGTAACAGTTTGGGGGAAACACGGAACGAACTATCCTTTCTTTTCTTTTTCTCTCTTTTTCTTCATGTGAATTCTGCAAAATTCATGGATTTTAGGGTTCGTCTTCTCCTAGTCTGATTTCTAGGGATTGCAAATGTAAATTAGGGGTAGTAGGAATGTCCAGTTTGGTTGTTGCTTCTGTTACTGGATGGAAATATTGTAGCTATGGGTGGATGGATGGTTGAATTTGAAAGAATCGTCCTTATTGGTGTACATAGATCATGATGATCTCCGTAGTGAATTCTTTTTCCTGAATTCTGGGAATCGGTGGATTTGTTTGTGCAGTCCCAAAAGGAAACATATGCATTAGTTACAAGAATCCTGAGAAATTCTTAAAGCCATTGAAGATCACGGAGTGGTGTGTATACTCTATGTAGTGTACATATGTTTCTCTGCAATGCAACTATACTGTGCTTAACGAAACTGTGGATAAGTGAGTTATGTTCTTCCTTGAAGAACAAGGACGACTTCCTCGGCACGAAATTGGATGCCCTTTAGATATTCGCTCAGGATGCGCTGCTGGTATGATCCTCCTTCCTGCCATATTGATCATGAAGTTTACTTAGTGCGAGCGAGGGAGAGGAAGAGAGTCGTTCTGTTCGTTGTAGATTGATGTTTGCTCTTACCGTACGAATCAGCACCCTCTCGATTCGCTTCTTGACGACAGCATAGAGTTCCTCTGGGGAAATGTCTCCTTTCGCCACGGTCAACCCGTTGATCATAAGCCTGTTCCACTCTTCCTCAGGAGCTGCACCAAACCCAGGGAATTAGGAAGAAAGCAATGTGTTGGGTGAAAGGCTGGCGTGTGAATAGGACAGTAAGAGGTGTCCAGTTTTGTCAAAGTGTTTGTTGTTAGGAACCTTTGATTATGGTCTCAAGGAACTGCTCATCCTTCAATATCTCGTCTCCTGCAAATTTGACAAATGGATCACGTCTCATTCAGGAAGTCAAGAGTTCTACGGGAACAAGAAATGAGGACACGAGGAACATGAAAAGGCTAATAAACAAGAGCAGATTAAAATATGGCTTCACGGACCATTCCAGTTACCTTTCTTGGCGTAGCTACGTTTGGAAAGAAGCGTGGAGGCATAGAGTTGCAGAACTTTTTGCAGCATAGCTTCAAGCCCTGGCTTATCACCATCTTCTTTCGCCTGTCGACCATCCCATACAAGAAAAGGTTGACAAACTCGCTGTCAGGGCTAAGTTTTATGAGCAAGGAAGTACAGTTTGGAGTTGAACATTAGGGCTCACGTTTCTCAATTGCGCGCTAACTTCTGAAAGGAACCCTTCATCCAGTTGTCCTTGTTGCTCTCTTTGAATTATTTCCTGATCACACAATGAAGGAGAAGTAGCATAAGAACTCTTGTATTTCTGGATCACCAAATGACAACTGTAGTCTGTAATCGTGAACCAAATTATTTCTTCAAACACACAATGATATGGGATAAGAGCTGTGATCCTCGTCTGAGTTAGATTGATCAAGAACTTGGTTGCCTTGACTTTACACTACTTCATGTGGAAGTCAAGGAAGTCGATTTGAAGGTTCAGAAGTACATACTTTCTCCATGAGCTCAAGGGCCTGGGGGTCTCTTGGAGGCCAGGTTAGCTCTTCCGTCGGATCAAGGACAGGTTGCAGTATTGCCTTAAGAACATCAGTAGACGAGTTTATCATTTCCTGTATCAAATAACAAAAGTGAGAAATCATTAACACAGTAGGGAAGAGCATCTATACGTACTAACAAAACCAGATAACATTGGTTGAGAAAGAGAGATGTACCTTGGTCTTATGGACTAGACGATCAACAATGCTCATTATGGAAATAGCCAATTCCTCGTAATCTTTCTGCAAAAGCACAACAAAATGACGATCAAGAAACTCATTGCGGTAAAAAGCAAAGGACAAATAAGGTCACGTCCAGCAAATTCCATGGAAAAATAAAAACAAGAATTAACCAAGTCAAAAGCCATGCTTTATCATCCTCCGAATTGCATGTATCTGCTCTTGCAGCAAGTCGTATCCAAAAAGCTTCGTTGAAAGCAAGAACATTCTCAACAACAAGCTTCTGAAGCTGTTTGACAGAAGAAAATGAAGATCTGCAAAGAATCAGTACATAATCTAACAATGGCATGAGGATATGATTATGAGCTCAATATGAGAATGAAGCATGAAAAATGTAAGCCTCAGACATACTTCTGTTGGACTTGCTTCCCTCAGTGCCTCTATCAGCAAATCTACTTCCACAGTCTTCTTGAATGCTTCCTCTGCATTTTGGCCGACTGCACATACCAAAGTTCTCCTGTTTGACACAACCCAGGTTCCCTCATTTAATGACCAATATGGGTTCAATTCACCAGGAGCAAGAACAACTGAACTGCCAAACTTATCAGCTCGTCGGACATTGAAAGGAAAAGAACTATCATAGACAAATAAGAAGGAAACAACAGCCAACAGCGTGTGAATCACTCGACTTGCTTGAACTCAAGCTTTCCCCAGTCTTTTCTAGATTCAGGAAGCAGAACTTTCTGACCATGTTTAAGCTGCTTCTCAGTAACACAGTTTCTAAGCATTCTTCACGAGAAGGAATTGTTATCCCCTAGCTTAGCTTCCTTAATCTTCTATACAACAGAACTTCCATAACCCCGATACCTACAAGTTGAACTATGGCCTCGACTTCCAATTTCCTTATTCTTCCTTTGAAACGATGATTAAATCATAGAACCAAACTGCAATCAAAATAGATTACCTGCTCTTGGATACTGCTGACCAGGTTGGGGAAGCCACCTTGATTCTCCATGCTTGAAGCCAGGACAGCTTCGTACAAGAGCTGCTAAACGCCTACAAACCGACAACGAAATACTTCATCAGCTTCCCAAGGTAATAGAAAAGGCCGAAACAGCAATCGGAGTAGAATTAGTTTACTGGCGGACATGGAACTCCCGCAAATGCAATTAGGCAAAACAAAACGAAACCGAGGCAGTTGGATTGGCAACAAAATGAAAAGCTAAAACGGAGATTTCTATGACATTTCACTCTGAAATCCGAAGGCCAAATATCTCACTTCGCAGATCGGCGCTCGCCTTCCAGAATCAGAACGCTTTCGCAGCAAACAAAGACACAACATAATTTGGGGATTACCCGTATCTAAATGAAGGAGAGAAACTCACCAGGTGAGGATGACCGGAAGAGCAGGGAGAGGAGAACGAGAGCAGAGGCGGCGAATACGGCGCCGAGACGGCGGCGGCGAATAGCGGAGAAGGAGCCATGGCAGTGGTGGGGAAGCGCGGGAGTTGGCCTGAGTGGCAGCAGGTGATGACCGTTCAAAGCTGGCTACCATATCCAAACAGCGAACGCTGCGGCGATGAAGGCATATGTTCATTTGGGCCTCAGGTGCTGCTAGTCCAATCTTTATGGGCTGCGAACGGGAATGAGCATACGTCCAGGCCCAGAAGATTTGCAAATAAAAACGGATCGAGCTCCACGTATACTGGGTTTCTGGGCCAGTGGGCTAGGCAAAGGGGCCGAACATGTTTGCATCCAATTGTGTTTCTGAGTACCCAAACTTTGACATACGACTTCTTGTTGGTATACTCTCTGGTTGATTGACCTTTCTCGGGTTTTGCCTTTTCGGAAATTTGTTGATGATTTGGCTCTAATGGATATTGGATTCAGTGGTCCACGTTTCACTTGGTCAAATAAGCATTCGGATGGTTCTGTTATTTATAGTCGTTTAGATAGATGTTTATTTTCTGGAGAGTGGATTCAGAAGTGGCCTCTTGGCCATGTCGAGCATCTTTCTGATCAAGGTAGTGATCATCGTGCTTTGCTTTATCGTTGGTCAATGGATCGTGTTCGAAGTAAGCCGGTCTTTATGTTTGATGCTCGTTGGAGCAAAATGGATGAAGCTGAAGCCATTGTTGCTTCTGCCTGGGGATCAGCCGCCCATGGTTCTCCATTCTTTCAATTATGGACTAGGTTAAAATTAGCTCGGCAACGCTTATTCCATTGGTCTCGGAAAGGTACTTCTAATTCTGCGCGGCGAATTCGAGCTTTAAAGTCAGAATCCCAACAAATTAGGAATGCTTATCCGGTTGATTGGGATGAGGTTTCTCGCGTTGAATCAGAATTGGCTGCTGCCTGGCGAGCATAAGAGTTTTATTGGAAACAGCATTCCCGGGTTAATTGGCTTCAACGTGGCGATCAGAACACAAATTATTTTCACACTGTTACTCGTGTTCGGCGTAGGAAAAATAGGATTCAAGGGTTGTATAATGACGTTGGAGAGTGGGTCACTAATGAAGCAGATAAGCATCAGGTGTCAATTGAATTTTACAAACATCTCTTTGCCTCTGCAGATTTGTCTGATGCTTATTCGGCCCGTGTGCAGGCTAGAGTTGCTGCTCTTCCTTTTCCTCGTCTTGTGTCTAGTGAGATGAATTCTCATCTTCTTGCTCATGTTTCTCCGGCAGAGATCAAAACCACAGTTTTTAATATGGGGGAATTTCAGACTCCTGGTTCAGATGGGTTTACATGAAACTTTTTCAAGTCTTTTTGGCATATTGTGGGTGACAGTGTTATCAAGGCTATCTCTTCTTTCTTTGTTCGTGGTAAGTTACTACGTAACTTCAACCACACGTGGTTAACTTTAATTCCAAAAGTAGAGGTGGTAGAACGTGTTTCTCAACTGCGGCCTATTAGTCTCTGTCAGTTTCTTTACAAAGTAATCACTAAGATTATTGCCAATAGGTTGGGATCTTTGCTTCCTTCTTTGGTCTCAGAAGAGCAGAATGGTTTTGTTCGGGACCGTCAAATTGTTGATAACGTTCTAATTGCTCATGAAGTCACTCATTTTGTGAAGAATAAACGTCAGGGGAGGGAGAAATTTATGGCGTTAAAACTGGACATGGAGAAAGCTTATGACAGGATCGAGTGGCCTTTTTTGTTTGCTCTGCTTAATAGATTGGGTTTTGCTCCTCAATGGATTGGGTGGATCCGTGAATGTGTTACTACTGCGTCCTTTTCAGTGATGATGAATGGGCAGCCTTCTGGTTATTTTAAGTCTACTCGTGGTCTCCGTCAGGGTGATCCTCTCTCCCCATTGTTATTTGCCCTTTGTACAGAAGGTTTTACTGCTTTGATTAAGCAAGCGATTCATCGGCATGAGATTCATGGAATTAGGATTCACCATTCTTGTCCTCCTATTTCTCATCTTTTATTTGCTGATGATTCTTATTTGTTCTTGAGGGCTTCAAGGAGGGATTGCTATGCTTTGATTCAATTACTTCATGAGTATGAATCTTTAAGTGGCCAGCGAGTAAATCTGCAGAAGTCAGCAGCCTTTTTTAGCCCTAATCTTCTTCAGCCAGATCAGGAGGAGTTAAGCACAGTTCTGGGGGTGGGTTCTTTTGGATTGCAGGATAAGTACCTGGGGTTACCTTCGCTTATAGGTCAATCCAAGGTTGACACTTTTCGGTTTGTGGAGGAGAGGTTGTTAGAGGTTCTTCATGGGTGGAAACAACGGGCTTTATCCGCAGCTGGGAGGAGAGGTTGTTAGAGGTTCTTCATGGGCTTGATCATTGTAATTTGTAACATTGATTCAATTGGAATAGTTAACATTAAGACGATTCGTAGTTTATAAAATGTCACTATAATACTGATGGGTGTGTTTCTCTAAGGGGACGTTCGACATGGACTTTCTTATGGGACGTGACGTTATATTTGAGTAATAACATAGAGGAAGTTCGATGATGTATATATAAGAAGTTGGGTAGTCGTATGGAGGATGAAAACATGATACACTAACTATACGACTCGGCACACTAGCATTATCCACATAACAAAAGAACTTGAAATATGATCAATGGCACAAGCCTATGAGAATGGACCATTGATTCACACACACACACAAAAAGGCCATTGAAGGATGGGAATATGTCTATTATACAACCCAATAAATTGCCATAAAAGGGCAAGATCTGGATCAGACTACAAGACATATGCAGAAATCGTTGACTAGGATCAAAATGGATGAATCAAGATCAATTAGCATTCACACTCTTGAGTTGAGTTCACCCACCCACTTAATGCCAAAGATGTGCTTTTCAACCTCCATGGACTTTATTCCCTCCCAAATCAGAACACAATCGTTCAACCCTCTTAATAAAACCAAGGGTTTCCATGTGCGCAATGTTCAAGTAAACGAGATCCTAACAAGGTTCCTGTAGTTTGGAGTTAACGTGTATTCCAATCCCTCTAGTTTCAGCTAGCTCGCTGGCCAACAACTTATTAATTTCGATGTTTCTTAACAGTTTCCAGTGTGTTCGTGCCATCCAAACTCAATCTATAAATTAAAAATTTTCAATACTTATCACATTCACTTATGAATTATGATGCTTCGATTCTCTTATCATAAATCATGTCACAAAGATATATCACGTCCCATATAAAATCTTATGTCAAGCTTTGTCAACAACGATACTCAATTTTTTTTATCTTATACAATATATGCCATTAAATGAATCTCGAGTTTGGACGAACTCTCAACCAATGATGTTGCAGTTGCAGATGACGACAACTTAGTGAGAATTTATTTTATAAAGGTACTTCAATATTAGATAAATTTGGTCATCCCAATTGAAAGTTATTGTCTTAGTGTAAGATCATATTTGTCGATCAAGACACTCAATTTAATATCTTATACAATATGTACTAATTGTTAATTCCTGAAGTTTAATTTAGACTCACCCTCAACTCATGGTCGTTGTTTAGAATCTCGGTCCAAGATACTCACACACTATCGAGGGTTCTAATCTTAACATGGTCCACTGGTGTATAATTTTCTAACTTATCAAATATGCATTTGCTAAAATTTATTGATCTTTGGTGTTTGTTTTGGGATAAAAATTCCATTACTTATACTAATATCTTCATTTTGTTGGTGTAATGCCACATCTATTGTCAATATCTAAGCATGATACTATACTCTAAGTAAGAAAAATGCTATATGGATCACGAATTAACCAAATTTGTGGGCATGATACTATACCCTAACCCTTGATGAGTGAACCCTAGGTCTTAGTTATCTAAATCATAGAGCTTAACCCCTAAGATTGTGCATGTAATTGTTGCATATATTTTGACGAATCATGACCGTTGATTTTTGTTTATAATTAAATTGATCATAGGGTATGAGATTTATAAATTTAAGACCTAGATTTTAATCCTTAAGGGTTTGAGAATAATACCATATGCCAAACTTCAGTCAATTCAAGGTCTAGATATTATTTTCTTATTCAAGGTATGTCATAATATACATATAAAATATAAAGAGTTTAATGTATTTTTAAGTGTAATTAACACCTTTGTTTGACCGAAATATGTAAATTGTTAAGAAAAATAAGGGGAAATATGAACAAATGTAAGACAAAATAAGGTATGGAAGCATGCATTATAGGATAGAAGAAAAGTTGTCTTTCTTTATCATCTTCATTTGCACAATCAAGTACTATATTATGGCTTGGTCAAGTTTCTATCAAAATGAAAAAAACACCTTTTAAAGTATTTTGCTATTTAATATTTGTTTTCGTTGATAGATACAACCATTAGAAAAAGATAGTGTTTGATAATTAAAAAATAAAATTATAGTTTGTTTTCAAATTTTATTGATTATTAAATGTTGATTATCTAAACTTCCTTCATTATAACCTATATTAACTTCTAATAAATTAAAAATAAAAATTAATTGATCAGATTTAATCAAATATATTTTTTTAAAAATTATAATATATGTCACTCTCCAAACATTAGTATACTGCTGCTACACATATATATTGAAAAAACTATTATTGAATAAAAAAAGAAAACATTAAAAGAAAATAGAGATAGCTACATAAATGATCATTAAAATAAAAAGAAAATATTAAAAGAAGATAGATATAACTACATTAATTGATCATTAACCAACTTTTTTGTTTGTAAAAAAAAGTGTCCACCATGGCACCTTGTAAATTCTCCAAATGCTTATGTGGCAACAAACTACTTTTGAATTGCCATAATATTATGTATAGAAGATAGATAGATAGATAGATAGATAGATAGATAGATAGATAGATGACTGATCATATGACTTTTTCCTACCCAATCGGGGAATACCACTACAACATGTCGGGAAAAAGGTAAGACATAAGGAACATAATCACCCTCTTTCTTAGGGGCCGTACTGTCATGCTTTTCGATCGAGAATGAGGGACACAGTTAAGTAGATGATCACAAACACTATAAGTTCGAGAGTAATTTTGGTCATAAAAGGCCGAGACAGTGGCGAAGGCAGGGCCTTTTGGCCTTGTCCCGGGACAAGGGTAAATTTCGG